TGGGCATGTTTACCTTTAGGAATATTCGCAGACAGTACCGTAGGCTCAGGAAGATGACCATCAAGGACATTGTGGTCCAGCTTGCTACCTTCCTATGGACAATCCTCATGGGCATCCTCTATTTCATTTACAGTGTGTGTAAAGGTTTATTCCTGCTCATCTGGCATACACTTTTTGGAGGTGGTTTAGTTGAAGGGGCCAAGAACATCACCGTGACGGAGTTGCTGGCCAGCATGCCGGATCCCACGCAGGATGAGGTGCATGGAGACCTACCGGGAGAACCAAGGGGCGGAGAAGAGCAGGATACAGGAGGGATAACAGACTCAATGGAAGTAGGAGGGGGAGAGGAGGAGGATGAGGACATCCAAGAAAAAGACGGTGGGAAGATTCCTGGTATCGATACACCAGGTGGACTTGGAGATATGGGTGACACGACCCCTGTGGAACCGCCAACTCCAGAGGGCACTCCATTACTGAAGAGGAAAATGGTATGGTGTTTATTTAGCTGGATTCCCTGTGTTCCTTCACCAATCTTCTACACAAAGACTTTTATTTGTATGTGTCATGTTGGTTCTTGTTTTTTATGCTGCAGCAACCAGAAGAAGCAGGACCTGAACAACCTCCTGCTATTGAAGAACCTCCTCCTGAGCCTGAGAAAGCAGAGTGAGTGACTCCCAAATGAAGGGAAAACAGGACATTGTAGTGTTTCTGTTCGATTCTTTGTTGTTTTTCTAGACGTATTCACCATTTCAATGACCATCTTCCATGTGTAACAGCACTGAGAATGGAGAGAAGGCTGAGAAGGAAGCAGAGGTCAAGCCTGAGGCCACACCAGAAGAACCAAAACCTGAGAAAGCCACTAAAGCCAAAAAGGAAAAGAAATCAGTCAAGGGAGCAGGATTTGAGCTCTGGAATGAGTTGGATGTTCAAAGAAATAAATTCATGGTAGGAAAAAAAATGTTTTTCTTCTAAATTTGAGTTGAATCTTTGAGTTTTAGTTCCAGGTTTAGTTACGTTTTGCGGGTTTTGATTTGCTGTTAATCTCCACTTCAATCTACAGAACTGTTTGTCCCGTAACTTCTACAACCTTCGTTTCCTGGCTTTGTTCATCGCCTTTGCCCTGAACTTCATTCTTCTCTTCTACAAGGTTGGATTTTCACACTGTTTTCCTGGTTTAATTTGTAGTTTATTTGGATTTCTAGGCTTGTTTGGATTTCTATGTGCTTACGTTTAAATGTTTGCTTAATTCAAAATGGCATGCCTCACAATAATTTTACTTTCAAATGCACGTAGATATAAAAATAAAATCTGTTCCTGTTAAGACTGTTTTTAAGCCTCCATTTTTTTTTATTCTCCAGGTATCTGGTACTCCTCCGATTAGTGATGAGTTTGATGGCTCAGGTATGTTTGAAGGCTCTGGGCTGTTTGAAGGCCCTGGGGAAGACTTTGAGGGCTCTGCTGGAGAGGATGGAGGTGATGATGATGATGATGAGGAAGGTCCTGTGTATTTTTTCCTGGAAGAGAGTACCGGATACATGCAGCCCACTTTGTCCTGCCTGGCAATTGTGCACACCATCATTGCTTTCTTATCTATCATTGGATACAACTGCCTCAAGGTTTGAACCACTAGATTTACATTTTAGCAATTGAACTTGTGTCATTATCAGTCTTGATTCAGGTTGTTTTTATTAATTCTGAATATGTGCTATCAATAAGTTATCATGATGTTGTGGTCTGTTAGATTCCACTGGTCATCTTTAAGAGAGAGAAAGAGCTGGCAAGAAAGCTGGAGTTCGATGGGCTTTACATCACTGAACAGCCGGAGGATGATGACATCAAAGGCCAATGGGACAGATTGGTGCTAAACACACCGTAAGTGTGGAGAAGCCTTCATTATGGAGCTGTTTCTCACAAGATATATCTGGTTGACTAAACTGAAAGTTGAGCTAGATTCTGTTTTGTGGTCAAACTGGTTTTGCACATATGTGGTCCCATAATTATGTCTCCTTAATAGACTAGTAAGTGTTCATTAGCAGACCTATCCATTTGAATTCATCGTTTTCCTTGGAAAAATTGTAATTAAAACTCTTTATCATTGTTTTAGCTCCTTTCCCACCAACTACTGGGACAAATTTGTTAAGCGAAAGGTAAACCGATATTCTTCCTGTTCTTTGGTGTGTAGGTTTAAAATCAGTGTGTTTATGAAGCCATGTTGTTCTCGTTTCCTTTGGCAAGGGTCTGGATAAATACGGAGATATTTATGGTCGTGAGCGAATCGCAGAGCTGCTGGGTATGGATCTGGCATCGCTGGATGTCAGCAAACAACAGACAGACAAGAAACCCGAAGAGCCAGACAACTCTATGCTTGCATGGTATTAAAAATACATTACAAGTGACTTATCATTGTGACATTTAAAGATATTACATTTAGGTTATGTGTTATTTTTTGCCACTAGTGGCACCAAACAGAATTGCCAAAATGTTTGACTTTTTAAAATGCTCCTCCTGTCTGCTATTGGTCAGCCAAACAGATAATCCCTAAAACTACACTATTGGTCAAAACATATGAGATCAAGTATTAGATTTTCCTTCCATATTATTTTTCAGGCTCACTTCCATTGACATCAAGTATCAGATCTGGAAATTTGGAGTTGTGTTTACAGACAATGTAAGTCTTTTTTTTTTTTTTTTTCAGGTATTAAAATCTACAGTATTTTCTAAAATCGCAGACTTTGCAAAGCACAGTTCTAGTCAAGTGTACTAAAGTGTTCTTCATTTACAGACTTTCCTCTACCTGGTGTGGTACACAGTTATGTCACTTCTTGGACATTACAACAATTTCTTCTTTGCTTGTCACCTGCTGGACATCGCAATGGGTGTCAAGACCCTGCGTACAATTCTTTCCTCGGTCACACACAATGGAAAACAGGTACAGTCAGTACAACAATTCAAACTGGTTCTGAAAATCTGCACTTATACACCGGTTGACTCTGTTGGGTTGTTTCAGCTGATGATGACTGTGGGTTTGCTGGCTGTGGTTGTGTACCTCTACACTGTGGTGGCCTTCAACTTCTTCAGGAAGTTCTACAATAAGAGCGAGGATGAGGATGAGCCGGACATGAAGTGTGATGACATGATGACGGTTGGTCACTGCATTATACAACATTATTAGTGTTAAATTGTCTTTTATTCTTTTTCTCTAATAATGCATTTTGTTGGTGGTTGCTCACTTTTTTCTTCAATTCTTCCCTAACCAAACACCTGCTGTATAATCCAACAAATCTCTCTTTCTCTTCACAGTGTTATCTGTTCCACATGTACGTGGGTGTGCGGGCAGGTGGAGGCATAGGAGACGAGATTGAGGACCCAGCAGGGGATGAGTATGAACTCTATCGGGTGGTTTTCGACATCACCTTCTTCTTCTTTGTCATCGTCATCTTGCTGGCCATCATTCAAGGTTAGACTCATGTTTCTGCGCCTAGCAAATCTACCACATTAAACCTTACATATCGGAGATTGATGATTGGCTTTGAGATTTCATTTTCTGGATTAGATTGAAAACACTGCACTGCAATTCACTGCATGTTTGTCTGCACAGGTCTGATCATTGATGCTTTTGGTGAGCTGAGAGACCAGCAAGAGCAGGTCAAAGAAGACATGGAGGTACTGAGATCTTTACGGTTTGATTAAAAAAAAAAACACATTAAGTTTTTATTCTCATCGATGTGTCTGATTTTACGCTTTGCATTGCTTCTTCAGACCAAATGCTTTATATGTGGTATTGGGAGTGATTACTTCGATACAACGCCACATGGCTTTGAGACACATACGCTTGAAGAACACAACCTGGCCAATTACATGTGAGCAATTTGGTTTTATGCCACCTTTCTGATGTTATACAATCTCTCCATCTTCGGACAAACAAAAATAATGTTTCTCTCTTCACTAGGTTCTTCCTGATGTACTTGATCAACAAGGATGAAACTGAGCACACTGGGCAGGCAAGACATGTCAAAATGTTCAGAACTGCTAAACATAAAAAGCGATCTAAATATAACAGACATGTGTATGTGTGACAGGAATCATACGTGTGGAAGATGTACCAGGAGAGATGCTGGGATTTCTTCCCTGCTGGAGACTGCTTCAGAAAACAATATGAAGACCAGCTTGGATAAACTCTTTTCTGTTTTGTACGTAGCCTTTAACAACGCTAGTATGATATTTGCGACAATCCATGATTTATGTAAAATTATACATAGAAATATAGACTTGCACAATACCAGATCATTATACTAATATACACTCAAAATGCATGCTATTTATGCATAGTAAGTCTTTTGGGGTAATTTTAAAGTATCTGCTCGTTTAAAATGTTAATGTGCCTAAGACCTATTCTAATGATTCTTTAGCGTGTGTCACAATCTTATGATCTTATTAAAATTTTATAAATTTTAAAATGTTAATGTATTTGATGTTCTTGCAGTTTGTTAAGCATCCCATTTCAAGATCAGCTCAAAATCTACTGTGAAAAAATAAAAATGTTTTTATCAAAATATCTTAAGTAGTCATCACAGACATTGTGAAAATTTGAATCTTTTTATTCAGATTGTAAAAGCATTACATTCTTCAAGCATCATATTTGTCTTAAACACAATCATCTTAAAATGGCAAGTTCACATTCTGAATGTTAAATGTCTCAAAAGTATATTGAATGTTGTTCAAAACATTTTATCAGAGTACTATAAATGAGCAAAAATGCTAAAAGTGCAAAAATAAATCCTGAAGAAAACACACACAATGAATAGACAATTAATCAATCAAGATACATTTGCTACCAATGTTGTATAATTGTAAGTTTTCAGGTGCCTTTTTAGGGCCTTTAACGATACGGTATGAAAAAGTGAAACTTCTGCAACTACTTAAAAAATTGCCAGCAGCATGAATCACAAATATCACTCAGCTAAATAATCAGATAATACATGGGTTGGTAGGTGATGGGATTTTCCCGAAAGTACACAAATCAGATTCTAGAATTTACTTTGTACTAAGTATACATGTTATCACAGACACATCTTACACTTTGTTACAATGGACACTGCTTGCAAAAAAGCCTTGATTCGGGCGACCATACAGAAATCTCACCTACATTACTGTGGAAAACAGCTCAATGTGAGGAAAATACTTTTGACACAAATAAAAAAACATGACCACTATGCTGCTACTCCACCTGACTTAATACAAAAAAAACAACTTCAAACTATATAAAACACAAAAAGGAACACAATTTCAGTTACAAACACTACCCAGCTTTAACATAAGAAAAAGAAACAATTAAATGTTTATCATTCCTTGTTCTAAGTTGAATATTAAAAAAAAAAAGTGCCAATACTGGATTTTACTGAGATTCATCATATAACACGTGCAAACCCCCTTTTTCATGTGTAAATGTTTTTCTTTTCTTTTCAGGATTCTAGTTTCAAACCTAAATTTCAAAGACACTCATTTCTAAACTCTCAATTTTAATAGCCTCAGATTAAGATGAAGATTTAGACTGGATTATCCACTTGCGATAGATCTTGGGTTTGTATGGTTTCGGAAGATCCAGGTATGGTGGAGGCTGATGAGTAGCTATGCATGCACTGGTAATCTGACGACAGGTCTGTTGGGTTTGAGAGGATGCTTTCGCTGTCAGTGCTGGACTGGGACACTATCCTGTACTCACGCACAGGACAGGCACGCTCTGTGAAATTGGGTTTGAAGCCGTTCTCCAGATCTTTAGGCATGGACAGCCATTTCTGCATGACAAAAAAAAAGATTGCATCTCACATTCCCTCTTTACCACTATGGATTAAAGAACAAATTAAAGCATGGCATATGACTGATAAAATAAAAACTGTTACTTACCTCAACATTGCCATCATAATTGTCAAAAAGGGCTGTAAGGTAATTGCTTACATTTCGTCCTGCATTTGGTACCACTGGTATTAAAATGATTCTTAACCTAAGAAAAGTTAAATATTAAATTAGCATAAACAAAACATTATTGCATTACAAGATAAAGGGAATTTTACTGTGGAAAATTAAAATATGTTTTTAAAATGGTTAAAGGACAAAAAACTGATTCAAACCTTTCGTTATGGACGAGCAAGCAGGACAGTATGACGAGAATTACTGTGGCTCCCGCTGTGCACAGCACCAGTGACATCAGAGGCATGTTACCCGGATCATCTGGGGAAAAGAGTTGCCGTTAAAGCCACTGCTGTAGTTTTCAGAATTGTTTTTTCAATTAAGCCCAAACCTTTGCAAGCATATGACGTTTATGGTTTAGTACAGTAAAAAAAAAGTGCTTGTTTAACTGACAGCGTACTACCCACACTTACGGTCTTGGCCACTTGAGACTTTGCACTTAATAGGAAGATTGTCCCAGCAGGTATGAAAAATGCCAAATTTCAGTGCCCTTAATGCACTTCTGAGCGGTATTTGAGGCATATTTTATGTGTATTTGGTAAAAGGTTTACAACATTATAACAAGCATCACAATTGCTAAATTGTGTCGCCTGTTACATAGGCACTACTGAACAGACATTCTGAAGTACTGAAAATCAAAATGCGCAAATACTTTATTACAAGTCAACAAGTGGTCAAGTGCAAAGACTGCAAGTGTGGGTATTGGTACAGGCCTTGTGCACCTTATTTTGCAACGCGGAAGTAAGTCATTTTCTTTGAATATACCTTATCTAGTTATAGGTAAATAAGTAAATATCAGTTTTTAATATTTAGCATTGTAACAGGAAGGAATGGCACAAATATTACGTTAAAAATAAGGAATATATTAGGATTATTTAATTCTGTCATAGTGAAGTTACAGTAAGAGACGCCTTTAATCACTTAGCACTAACATCTCATTAGACCTAACTTAGTACATTATCATCAAATGTGAAACTGGTTGTGGAAAGATTTTATATGACAAATTCCTCATTTTCAACATGTAAACCTATTTTTAAAAAACATCCAGTCTGGTAAAGCATCATGGAAAACATGAGAATAGGCAATATTCTGCAGTGCGTTGCGCGAGTGTGAGAGCGCGCACAGGCAAGGCGTCACGCCATTTCGCGTTTGATGTAACGTTATAATGTATATAATGCGCTTGCAGCTGTGACTGTTTGTCTGCAGCTTTTGTCTTTTTAACTAGGCAGATAAAGCACTGAGAGACTTGTAATACGGATAAGATAATTTACCTGAGGTGTTGTTGGTCTTTAAATATCCCCAGTAGACAGGCTCACTCCAGTCGCTCCAAAACTTGGACTCTCCGCAGGATGACTCTATTCGAGCCCTGACCTGGAACTCATAGCGTTTTTTTGAGGGAAAAGGCAAACTGAAGGAGGTCCTGTGGCCTGGAGTGGTGCTCTAGGGAAGAGAGATGTAAACTTTGCCGTTTTGTGTTTGGTCAGACGACCACAAGGTGAGAATGCATTACAATGACAATTTGTGCATCACTGTCTTCAAAATTGATTAGTCTAGTCGTCGCGCAGACGCGCACTGGGACTTTCTCTTTTATCCCATCAAATCACTTTAACATTTAATAAGCAGTTCCAACAAGATATAACATATGGCATAGTAACAATTTCTTTTTTTTTAAATGCTAATGGCTCTATTATTATTTTTGGAATTTCTACTGAACGTATTACTCCGCATGTTACGTCATTAAGCCGATAGGTGGCGACAAGTGACTGTCTTTTTCAACATTGATTACTACAGGAAAGAAACAAGTGACATTTTCTTATGAATCATTGAATCATTCACCCAATCCATATGTAAGTTTAAAACCCTGATTTAAAGACTTGCAATAGATGCTTTGGTGTTTGGAGATGAAAAAAGACAAAAAGGAGCTTTCAAGCATCACAGCAATAATAGTTTAGTACAGCTTTACTTTTTTTTTGTATATAAGAATGTGTCCAGTTTATTTATTTTTCTGAGCAAAAAATAGTTACTATCATACATTTTACCACGATTTACAGAAAAAAAAAGCCATTCAGTGTAACAATAGTCTAAATACTATTGTATAAAAAATCTGGTCAGGCATATTTAGATCAAGAATCATTAGAGGACATTAAAATACTATTTAAGGATCACAATGCAAAATTAATTAATTTAATTTTAAAATTTATTTAATTTTTATTTAATTTGAAAAACATTAAAGTAGACACTTTAGTTGCATTTTATATGCTTTCTGTGTATATAAAACCACTTTTGTCATCATTAAGTCATTAAGTCATTAAATCATTAAGCCATTAGAGGCCATATGAAACTAATACCTATACAATGTCCATGTGTTTCAAATGTGGCCAATCAAAATTTAGTTTCATAAAACAAATTTCATACCTTCCACGCATTGTTGTCTGTCCTGTGACGAACTTCACTCTCAATGCAGCTGTCGTTCTTTGTAATATTCCAGTACAGCCACAGTTCAGCATCTTTTTTCTCCACCACAGACAGGTTGACCGGAGGGTAAAGCTTCACTGATTAGCAACAGAGTATATAAAGTATCAATTCATCAACCGGTCAATTATTGTCAAGTCATAATAAATATGAATAATTTCTAATACCATATGCTTTGAGATTATGTTCCTGCTCTGTCACCAAACCGCCATTGTCACTGTACAGCCATGTTTTTAACGTATTAAACCGTTGTGGTTTTTCGTAGGGGAACACGCAGCCCACGTTAACACCATCAATCCTGAGATATGTTGGACAATCCAGAATTTCTTTATGAGTAAACCTAAGAAAGCAAACACATGCTGTTGTCAGTTCTGAAACTTTCATCCAAAAATGCAGGTTTTCTATTTTGTTCAACATACGCACCTGCTCTTGAAACTGTAATTGTGCTCATGCTCAGTCCATGTGCAATTGACATAGTCCAGATTTATGATAAGGCAGTTAATTTCTGGGTAAAGAAGAGAAAAACAATATAGTTATTTTTCATTCTAATGAATTATGTAAAGTATAAATGGCACAGTATTGCAGCTTGCAATGCATGTAGTTTGTCAGTAGAGGATGCTCAGCCTGTGAGGACTGGAAAGAAACATATACATACAGGAAATATGTACATTTTCAGTCAAAATCACAATTTTATACAGTCTTACTGATTAAAATTAAATCATAGTTTTACATAAGAATTTTTAGACCATTTTGATTTAGTCATTATATAGAAAAACTGAACTGAAAGTGTTGTAAGCTCAAGTTGTGTCTTTGGTTGCGTGTGCGCATCATGGCCACAGAGAAGCCATTTTGGAAAGCAAGCATCTGAACATTGTCAACTCTTCAGCGACAGGTTGCTGAAAAATTTCACAATTTCTTGAGGAGTATGTAATGGTCACGTCTGCTGATGAAATAATCGCCATCGCCAGACGTTTTTAGGCCCTATATATGTTAACATATTCGATTTTAACATCTTAACTGTTGTAGAACCACATACTTCCGTAGTTTAAAAGAGCATATAAAACCACAAAAAGGGGAAGAAATGAATAAAAATCCAACAAACCCTACCCCGTTTTGTTTAATAGTTTAGAAATGACTTCTGTAAACCTTTTGTATTTTAATACTAGGTATGATGTGTTTTGTAAAGGCAACATAATGTAAAATCTAAATAAGAAGGAAAAAAATACATTACATTTCAAAATAGTGTAGTTGTAAAATACTCACTTGGCTGGGATGATGCAGAAAATGCAAATGAAGGAATGTTCCCAAGGAAAAGACCAACTAAAAGTAATATCATCTTGGACAGGGTTGCATAACGCACTTGTTGTTTTAGGTCTGTTTCTGTCTTCCCTGTTCTAACCTAAATGTATGCGCTCTGTGTGGGCTGACCTATGTGTGTGAGATTTCCTGTTCAAGAGAAGCCACATTCTGCTGATTGCCTGTTATGAAAAGAACTGAATGCTAAATTTGTGTATGAAAGAGAGTAGGCATTAAAAATTTTAGAACATTTTATTTTGCTTTTACATAATTCATTCTTTTACATGAAATCAAAAACCTAAAATAAACTATACTAATATGTTTAAGGAATAAACTTATAGCCTATATTCTGGCCTTTAGTTAGACAATAAAGTACAGCAAGTACAATCAAGTACAGCAAAATAACTGATTCACACCAGAAATCATTGTAAAATATTTTTTGTCTCAAAACTAATATGCTATCATATATTTGGCGACCATATCTTTATTTCAGTGGAGAAATTTACTACTAAAGAAGATGAACTATTAAACAAACTGATTATGAATTAAATATATATTGCATCATATGCGGGAGATGCTATGATGAATTAATATTACTTTACTTTTTTTGTGACATTTTCAATGTTTTAGTGCTACAAACTTTTTATATATATATTAATATATATATAAATATTGTGTATCAATAGCATATCATGCTCTTAAGTAACTTTAATTGCCACATTAGTTCTATTATTAGCATATTAGTTGTTACTCATTTAGACATTTGGTGGGTGTATGCAGCAGATTTTCTGCAAAATAAAACCTTTAAAATAAAACAATCATGGCAAGCCTTCCACACAAAAATGCTGCCTTTAAAACAGCACCCACTGCAGAGGTTGCATTAACGGAAAATTTTCCGTCATTTACTGAATTTTAAAAAACACTGAGATGATTCAAAGTGCTTTCCGTCATTTTGGTCTATTGCTTTACCCTACATGGTAAATTGTGCTAATAGACTAAAAGTTTGTTGTGAAATCACTCTTGAGTCAACAAGAGAGGTTAGAGTTCATTGATGGATAAAAATCACGACGGAAAATTTACATCATTTACAATTGACATATATCCAATTGCCGCATAATAATACTGAGCCTTCCATTAAATGGCAGAGCTATCAACTATTGGCTGTTTCAGATACCACTTTTTACTATCAACCACCACAACACAATATCAAATGCATTAGAGTTTTAAATGACAAAAGAGAGCTCTAAAGGCAGTGTAGTGTCACTGAAGGAGAGGCTGGATGCTTCCTGCGCCAGCTGCAGAAGGGATGGTAAGATATCTGAATACTCCCCACTATCGTAGCGCTCCTGCTCCGGGTCTGCATTTTGTTGCAGGCTCTGCTGCTGTGTAACTGCACAAACACAATAAAAGGAACAAACCAGAAGTGTAAGTTCTGAATTCATGTGGTTTGTGCAGGTGATACATGTGTGGGTTCGGAACGGTGTGTGAGAGGGAAGCGTGGGCGTATATCTGTGTACCTGTGTCGGCGTGAGGTAGCGCATCGGCTTCATTCTGGCTTCTCTGTTTGCTCTCGGTTTTTGTGTCAGAGTCTTTAACAGCAGATATGTGGCAGCCAGGACTAAGGATCTATCATAAACATGAAATCAAACACGTCAGATTATACAAAAGCCTGTTAACTATTACTGAAGCAGTGTGGTTTGTAATAGCATCTGTGCTGTGATGTCTAAGTCAGACCTTGCTGAAACTGTCCAGGTCTGGTGAGGGTGGAACGCATGAGCGGATCACTGCTAAACTGGATTCAATTAGTGCCAGTGGATCCGACACATCATTACTGTTCTCAGGAGAAGAAGAGAAGTGAAATATTAGGGCTGAACATTTAATCAAAATGGCTTAGTGTGATTATCAAATGACGAAGTCTGCGATTTATTTTAAAATAAGTATATGTGCCGTGTGTTTTAGAGTGAAGCACGGCACTGTGTTAATTTATAGGCAAGCTGCTCAGGATAACAGTGTTTTCAGTGTCTCGGGGCAACTTGGTTTGCAGTCAATGCTGCTTCACACGATCTTCATCTCTGCAAGTGCAGTTAGTTTGGGTTGCTTGAAAATGCAACATGCCAAACATTTCACTAGATTTTTAATGAGAAGCATGTTGCCAACAAAGGAGAAGCTTTAACCCTGTGGTTTTCCACCAAAAGAAAAATGTATATGTATATTGGTTTAAAATGAAGGTATAAAGAAACAAATGTGACCCTGGACCACAAAACCAGTCATAAGGGTCACTTTTTTTATTAAAAGCTGAACGCTGAATAAATAAGCTTTCCATTGATGCATGGTTTGTTAGGATAGGACAATATTTGGCTGAGATACAACTATTTGAAAATCTAGAATCTAAGGGTGCAAAAAAGTCAAAATATTGAGAAAATTGCCTTTAAAGTTGTCCAAATTAAGTCCTTAGCAATGCATATTACTAATCAAAAATTAAGTTTTGATATATTTATGGTGGGAAATTGACAAAATATCTTCATGGAACATGATCTTCACTTAATATCCTAATGATTTTTGGCATAAAAGAAAAACCAGACAATTTTGACCCATATAATGTATTGTTGGCTATTGCTACAAATATACCCCAGCGACTTACGACTTTTTTTTTATTTGGGTCACAAATATTATTATTGTAATTTTACAGGTGTACAATTTTTAGTATTTTTATTTATTTATTTTATAATTTTACTGTATTTATTTATTTTAGAGTGAAATAGTCTTAAAATAAAAGTCTTTTTTTTCTTTTCTAATAATAATAATGATAATTTTTTCATTGTCATAATGATATATAATCACAATATTTGGCCAAATTTTTCAGCCCTAAAAATAACCACAACAAATCTGGAAAATTGCATTTTAAATCACTTTTTTTTTTTTTTTCCAGAAAAATCACAGTTATATTTTCCTCCCAATTGTGCAGCCCTATGAAATACTGCACAAAGTTATTGATAAAACAGAACAGAGATCTGTTATAATTATAAAAGAAAATGGCACACATGATCAGTTTGCTATCTAACCTTTCAGAGGGTATTTCCTCAGACTCCTGGGCAGCTGGGTCATCTAGCAAATTCAATGCCAGCTCCATGGAGGGCAGAGTAGGGGAGGCAGGAGATAAAAATGTGGTTTGAGTTGCGGGAAAGCTGTCTGTCACTGGCTCTCTGTAAAACCGAAAACACAAATGAAACCGGAAAATAGACTGTGAAACCCAAAAAAGTACTTTCAGTTCAGTTCTGTTTTTTTGTTTTTTTACCCAGTAAAGAAGTATTTTTAAAAACCTCGGAAGATTATAATTATACAAGTGCGAGTCCTGTAGAGGATAAAGACTACAGGTGTGCTGTTGCTGTCTTACCTGCTAGGCTCAGGTCTGGGATCCAGCAGGTGGGTGATGTCAGAGTCGATGATCATGCCATTTGAGTACACATCAGCCGGTGACACATCCAGCTGCCCAGAAACCCACAGGGATGTCACTTACTTTCAATATGACAGAAATCAAGCTCCTTTTATAACTAAACAGCATCGTGTTAGATGAAGTCAAGAATTCAAACTTAGACCAAAATTAGATCACACATCAAGATTTTAGCAGGCACCTCTTCCATCGAAGGGATCTCTCGGAGGGGGGAAGTGGTAAGGGTGGGATTCACACTGAAGGAACGGGCATATTTCGGCGCAGACTGAAACTCCCCAGAATTGTTGATCATGGGGCTGTTAGGGTGGAGAAAGGAAATGTGATGTGAGAAAAGATAGCTGAAAATGCAAACAACACATTTCTCACTGACTATGAGAACATTTTGTGTGCTTTAGGTGAACAAACTTACAGTCTTCTTTTGCAACCTTTTATCCCATTTGACTGAACGATGTTGATGATGAACTTTATCATCTGAAAAAGAGTGACATAGGATAGGAGAGGTTTGTATAGTGATTATCAAAAAAGTATTTTTTATTATATACATAAAATATGTTATTATTTATATAGTTTACAAATGTGTTTCCATTTACCTTACGTATGATTTTATGCTGCTGCTGATAGTTCTGTCTTAATGAGTCCAGTTCTCTCCACAAGCTCTCATTATCCCTTCAGGAAAGAAAAGGTTAAAAGATTTAGTAATGGCAGAGAATTTAATATTTAAATGCTATTAGCATTGATCTATAGTACCATTCAAAAGTTTGCTGTTAGTATGTATGGATTTTTTAGAAAGAAATTATTACTTTTATTTCTCAAGGATGCATTAAAAAGATCAAAAGTGACAGTTAAGACATTAATAATGATTTCTATTTCAAATAAATGTTGTTCCTTTGAACATGTATTCATCAAAAAATCCTAAATAAAATAGCACAACTTTTTTTCAACACTGATAATAAAAAGATATTTTAAAATAGAAAACAGTTGTTTTAAATTGTAATAATATTTCATAATATTACAGTTTTTTTTACTGTATTTTTGATCACATACAGTGGGTACGGAAAGTATTCAGACCCCCTTAAATTTTTCACTCTTTGTTATATTGCAGCCATTTGCTAAAATCATTTAAGTTAATTTTGTTTCCTCATTAATGTACACACAGCACCCCATATTGACAGAAAAACACAGAATTGTTGACATTTTTGCAGATTTATTAAAAAAGAAAAACTGAAATATCACATGATCCTAAGTATTCAGACCCTTTGCTGTGACACTCATATATTTAACTCAGGTGCTGTCCATTTCTTCTGATCATCCTTGAGACGGTTCTACACCTTCATTTGAGTCCAGCTATGTTTGATTATACTGATTGGACTTGATCAGGAAAGCCACACACCTGTCTATATAAGACCTCACAGCTCACAGTGCATGTCAGAGCAAATGAGAATCATGAGGTCAAAGGAACTGCCTGCACGTACACATGTTGAGCTGGCGCACAAAGCTGGTCATGTTGCTATGTTTGAAGTAAAGAGGCAGGACTTCCTTGCTGAACTGCTGCTCATCCTGGACAAGAAAACTGCAGCCATCCTAATAGAGTGGAAACAGGAAGATGTGGTTTGACTTACATCACTTGATATATGTCAAACTGTTTCTAAAGAAAAGCCCATTCCGGTCTGGCAGGAAACACTATTTGTACTTAAAAAGCACTTGCACATATTACTGCAGGTTTCTAGAATCATTCGAGTTTGCTTCCTGAGTTTACTACTTTTACACTTTACATCTTTTAAAGTTAAATATGTTTTGCATAGTTTGTTTTATTTTTATAAAACAAACTATAAAAGCTCTAAATCTGGCACTAGAATTTTTGTTGCAAATGCCTGCTTAAAAAAAAAAATAGCAAAAGATTAGTAAAAATACTTATATATATAGATAGATAGATAGATAGATATTATTCAACATAATATATTTAATGTAATTAATAATTATAATGGTGGTTATATATAATATAATCTTAACCTCTAGGAGTCATGTTAATAAAACAACAGCTTAAAGGCAAATAAAGGTAGATCCATTCACATTTACAGACAGACAGACAGACAGATAGATAGATAGATAGATAGATAGATAGATAGATAGATAGATAGATAGATAGAATATTAATAGAATATTAATTACACCAGTAGAGGTGCTTTAAGAATGTCGTTGTTTGCTCTGCTTGCAATAACAATAAAGCTATTTAATTTAATTCAATTCAATTAATTATTCAACATAATAATACAATGAAATTATTAATAATTATTATGGTGTTTACATATAGCCTAATATAATCTTTACCACTAGGAGGAGTCGTGTTAATAAAACAACAACTTAAAAGCAAACAAATGTAAATACATTTACAAAAAAGCATATAAATAGTATACGTTGATATTATTTAAAAAAAAAAACATTTATAGCGGTCAATTCATTACTTTGCTTTATTCATATCTAACACTAATGTAGTTAACTTAAATGTATATAAGCATCTTCAATATAATAAGGATTTAAATAAGGGTTTATTTTTATTTTATTTTTTGGATGTTTATCATAAATGTTCTATTTTCGGGGCACCTCGTTCTGTCACATGACGCGTAAGTTGGTTCAGAGCGCGCCGTTCCAAACGCAGATAACATTAGGTAGTAGGCTACGTTCTAATAATATACTGAGCACCCATTGGACGGACAGTGGACCAATAGCGAGCTGCCTCCACCTGCAGCAGCGCAATACACGTGGATCTGTTTTGTAATGGGTCAGATAGCGCATTAAAAAGTATTACTAATAGGGCATCTGAAGATAAACATCTTCTTAGCAGATAAACGGAGTGATGTTCAATGAGCTATAATAAATTCTGAAGAGTTTATTATTGTGGAGTTTATTATTCTGAAGAGTTAATATTGTTGGACTTGTTGTTGTTTGTACAATTCCTACTCAGGACACGTCATAAAAAATAATTACTATATAATAATTACCTCACACGAACAACAGTTCAAATAAATCAAATCTGCATTTTGCATAAAATACTCACTTGGCTCCAGCAGATCAGGTCGTTCGTTGACGGAGCCTCTACAAGTGTCCAAAGTTTGCTGACAAAAGCTGGGACGCAGTGGCTGTGTTTCATCTCTCCTGTTTAAAAACAGAGGTGAAGAAACTTCTCTGACTTTCGTGAATATAAAGCTCGTCACACTGCTCTAGATTAACCGGCTGTGAGGAGGTAAATAAAGTCCCAGGTTGACCTACACGTGAATTTCCGTGCTGCGACCCCCCCCGTCCATCTATCCACCAATCCCGAACGCGGCTCCCTGTAGTATACGTAAGTGTGTTGTGCTAAAGTACTTGTATTTTTTCCTTACATAGTCTTACTATGTCACTCGCTTTAAATAAATTAACTTTTGTTATATAAAGATAGACTCTGATCATTTTCCTTGTCAGTAATATTGGAAAAAGCAAAAATAATTGTGTATATTTGTATTGTGTTTTGACAATGATAATTGATCATTTAAATGAGACAATACTGACTCTTTTATTTTAATGATACTAAAAACAGCACGGTTTTGCAGAATTGTGTTATTACATGCATTGATTTATAAGTAGTAAGTAATCCTTAACCAGTAACCAGTGAGTAACTTGATCTGGTGTCTTCTTGTACATCTTTTATGTAATATTTATCATGCATGTATTTGATATCATTGAATGCGTATCCGTCTGTGTGCATATTGAAAGCTAACAATCGTGTTAAATTAATGTAGTTAACTAGAAAAGAGTGAAGAATAAGTTCACATTATTTTAGACAGCGTTTGAAGAAGCTTTTATTTTGAATACGCTACTTCCGGTGGAAATAGTGTATCCCCATAGACTGTATATCTTCATTTACTGAATCAAGTGTGAGTATAATTTGCATAATTAGTGGAAGTTAAATCGTTATTCATTGACTTAATTTTGCCTATTGTCTGTATTATTAATTTCACGACGTTACCGCCTCAAATTCATATGTTATGCAGCCTGCTCGCATGTCATGCTAGAATATTCTTGGAGCGCGGTGTTGGGTGTCATGGCAACAAACGCAAACACAGTGAGGCGCTAGTCGCGGGACGCAAAAAGTTTCCTCAACACTTCTCTGTTGTTGTCCGGCGGTGGTTATATATCTTCTTTATCTTAAAATCTCAGATTTGTTATATTCCTGCACAGGACAAATTCAGCAGGTGGGAGATGGTTCAGCTGCACGTCAAACGAGGAGATGAGACTCAGTTTCTCTTCAACACTACAGCAGGTCAGCGCCATCTATAATGGAAGATTAAAAGTGGACAGGATCTGCTCTGGTATGACTATGATGTTATGTATGCTTATCACATTCTTTGGGTTCCACTGGTTTATGTTCTTGACAGACGAGTTCATACCCTAAAATGCATGTATTATTGTGTAAGTGGCAGTTTACCTCACTTTAAACGTTTACGTTAATAAAGTCAAGTGCTAAAACAAGTGTGAAACGTTTGATTGCATATTATAGCATTAAAAACTAGTATCAATTTAATTTATGTCTCCATAGAAATTCCAGAGCTGGCAGATCATGGTGTCTCTCTTCCACCGAGTATGCAAGGCCTGACTGATGATCAGATCATGGAGCTCAAACTAAAGGATGAATGGGAGGAGCGCTGTATTCCCAGCGGTGTTGCTGAGTTTAAGAAGGATGAGCTCGGACGACGAAATGGACATGGTAGTCCTGGCTGTCACATTTAAAGTTTACATTTGAATTGCCCGATTAATTGCTATAACTAAATTCTGACTTTCCATTTAGCTCCGAACGAGAAGATGAAAGAAGTTTTAAGGAAAACAGTGGAGGAAGCCAAAGCTTTAATCTCAAAAGTATGAAGCTAATTCTAATATAGAATACTTCAAAACCTCAATATGTTGTTACCCTTTTGATATGTTTTGTGATATATATTTCTTTACTCTAAAGAAACAAGTGGAAGCGAATGTCTGCTTTACCACGGATTTGGTCAAAGAGGCTTTGGACCAGTTGCGAGGAGCTGTGATGATAGTTTACCCAATGGGGCTGCCTCCACATGATCCAATAAGGATGGAGTTTGAAAATCAAGAGGATCTTACTGGAACACAGGTATCTGAGATATTTTCTGCCTTTCTTAAAGGAATACTCAACCCAAAATTAAAATTCTGTCATCGTTTAGTCACCCTCATGTCATTCCAAACCTGTATGACCTCCTACCTTCTGTGGAACAAAGAAGAGGATATTTTAAGAAATGTGTGTGTGTTTTTTTTTTAAGTCTGTGGGCTCCGATGTTGTTTGGTTCCTGACATTCTTCTAAATATTTTCTTTTGTGCTCTGCAGAAGAAGTAAAGTCATACAGGTTTGGAACGACACGAGGCTGAGGAAATGACATAATTGTAACTTTTCAGATGGAATATCCCTTTAAATAACTACATGCACATTGCTTAATAATAAAACAGACCAATACAATGTACCTCATTTGTTTGATGAACATAACCAAAGCTGTAATACTGATATGAAGGCTCTCCTCTGCAGGCCTCATTACTGGTGAGCCCAGAAGAAGAGGCTCAGCTGTGGTGGGCATCTAAAGAACTACAGAGGGGCAAAAAGCTGCAGGATTATGTTGGGAAAAATGAGAAAACAAAAATTTTTGTGAAAATTCAGAAAGTATGTGTTCGGTGTGAATTTCAGTTTTATTTTTGTGACCTTAATCTGGTGTTTAAACTTATCTTCGAAGAATTTCCATATAGATGATTTGACTTAATGAAATGAAAACTGATGATCACCATTGTTTGCACATTCATTTTAGAGATGCCAGGGTGCACCAGCGAGCGAACCACTAGTGAGTGAAGAGGAACAAAAAAAGATGATGCTGCATTATTACAAGAGGCAGGAAGAACTAAAAGTGAGTGGCCTCTAACTAACTCTTTTGATTTATATTCTTATTGTATGTTGTGTGTTATATATAGTTTTATTTGAATGATTAAAATATATCTAACTATATATTTACTTATTATTTTAGAGCATTCATCGTTTGGTCTGTTTTGTTCTTGCTAATAGAAACTAGAAGAGACAGATAATGACTCGTATCTTCAGTCTGATTGGTCGGACAGACAGGCCCTAAAAAGACAGTTCCAGGGACTCACAAATATCAAATGGGGCCCAAGATAGATGAACAAAGAAAATCACAGCTGATCTACAGCTACTCTCCATTTGACAAATCAGAGATCTCTACACTCTACTGCTGTTGTTTTTATGCAATTTGGTGCCTTCGTTACATATGAAAGGTATTTATGTGACTGTTTGTAAATGCAAAGCGAGACATCAGATTTCTCTGCTCTGATTCATTCGCAGAAGGATGCAACACCTTTCCTCTCTTTGTCTGTGCCTCTGGCAGTTACTCAGTTGAAACTTGATGCTGTTTAAAGACAGGATGTTGCCGTGCAGCTCTAAGGATCGCTGTGGCACCGCAGAGTTCATTTGGAGAGCGTTGAGAAGGAATTACAGAACATTTTGGTATCCTTAAGGCAAAATAGAGGTTACAGTATCGGGAGGTGTGGTTTCACTGGAAAAGTTGAGTGCGATGTTGTGTAATAAAAGAGTTTCCTGTTTGTGTTCAATTTATTTTCATTTTATGATTTCACTTTTAAATATAATACATTTTAATTAAATTTTTTTTACCAGTCTTCTGAATTTGAATTGATTTCAATACCACATAAATTATTCATCCAGTGTTTAATAGAGCAATAATTTATAAAATACTTTTCTCTTTACATGGCTTTACATTATGTAAAGTGTAATACAACAGCTACTTTATCAGCTGAATAGAATAATTTTAGAACAGAATAATAACTTTCACCCTCACTCAGGCAGTAAAACACATCAGGTATTGCTTGTTCTATGCTATTATGTCCTCACAGTGAAAAATCTGTTTGTTTTTTTTACCTGACAGTGTCTTTAAAGGTGATGTGTGTAATTTGTTTTATGTTAAAATACACCTTTCATGGCTTATTATGAGAACTGTTGTAGGTTAATCTCACTCAAAATGTAGCACAGTGAATCTGTGATGTTATCAAAATATTGGTCTGTTTGTTAAAAAAATTAGCTGAACCAATAGTGTGACTTAGGGGCGGGCCATTTGTTTGGCAGACCAATAGGAGATGAGGGAATTGTTCTGGAAACCTGTCTGAAGACAGTTGCGATACAAAAATTCCACACTTCACCTTTTAGTGTTTTGGTAGCAGAAAGCATTCAAAATGCTCTCTCCTTTTGGTTGAAACTACAGCTACTGCACATTCTGCGTAATAGTTGGCTTGTATGAATGCAGGATGCATGTGTTTCCATTGAGGTATGCGTTCATCCTGATCTCCTGAATGACAAGCTCCCTGCGCTCAATCCTCTCCATCAGCTCTGCTGCCTCTGTGGTGTACGTCACATCTTCCCAGCAATGCACCTTCCTGCCAATCTCTGACAGGTTAGAGCTGTCCATTAGTGACCCTGTCTCATCCTCATCTTCCTCCTCTTCATCATTATCCTGGTTCATTGGCTCCTCCTCTTCCAAATTAGTTGTTCTACTCTTCTTCCTGAATGTTCTAGTTGCATTTAGATGTCTACTGCAAGTTAGCTGTGTTGAAACAGCTATTAGAACAATCAGAAGTCCCACACAAACACTTGATGTGAAGAGCAGTCCTGCCATCTCTGGATGCTCTGAGAGAAAGAGAAAAGTACTTGTGAGTACTTGTGAAGAATAGTTCACACAAAAAGTAAAAGTGCATACACTTCTAATTAGCTTTGGATTTACTTTGAAACTATTTTCATTCTGAAAATTGCTAGTAAATCTCACAAATAATTGCAAAGAAACGGCAAGTTACACATTGAACTAAATGAAATTTTGAAGTAGAAAGACTTAAATAGTATTTTCATGTAAAATGTTTCGTAGAATTATCCTTTGTATAGCATGGGTAAAATAATAATATAGAGGTTTGAAATGACATGAAAGTGAGTAATTTAATCATGTAATTATATAAAATACTTATATAAAACCATTCTTAAATGTTCTCCATTTGGGCTGCTTTATGTTGACTGGGCTCATAAAAAAAATCGAGGCATGTTTATGCTTAAAGGGGTCATATGATGCGATTTAAATGTTTCCTTTCTCTTTGGAGTGTTACAAGCTCTTGGTGCATAAAGAAGATCTGTAAAGTTGCAAAGACTAAAGTCTCCAAAGAGATATTCTTTATAAAAGAGTCAACCACGCCTACCTAAAACGGCTCGTTCTAACACGCCCCCACATACCTACGTCACTATGTGGGAAGATTTGCATAACACCGCCCAAATGTTCAAGCAAAGAAAGAAGGCGTAACTTTTATTCTCACTGTAGTAACTTCGCGCTGTGGATCGCCGGATCGGCTTTCACCGTGGACGAAGTGGAGCCTAGCCTAGGGGTCGTCACATGTGGTTGATGCAAGCCCGCCGGCCGCTCTTCGTCGAATCCCGCCGGCCTCCGCTCACTCAAGCCGCCGGTTCTTTTGGAAGGACACGACTAGAAATCAGTGGTTAAGTTGTATTTACAACACTGTTCCAGAACAGTTCAACCCAAATATTCAGATGTGTGCAGCGCATTTTATGGAGGACTGTTTCCTGATCCTGGGAGAGTAGACTAACGTTACAATGCCGGCTTTTCTGACTCACAGACTGGAAGTACGTTTTCATATTTAATGGATGTGCCACGGTAAGGGGCGTAACATTTCCGTCACACGCTTGAAGTATTCAGCCAATCACAACGCACTGGATAGCTGGCCAATCAGAGCACACCTCGCCTTTCAGAACGATGAGCTTTGTAAAAATCGACGCGTTTCAGAAAGGCGGGGCATAGAGGAGAAACAATAATGTACAGTATGTGGAAAATAATGTGTTTTTTGAACCTTAAACCGCATAAACACATTTCTTTACACCAAATACACAAAATAATGTTCTTTTTAGCAACATCATGACCCCTTTAAGACTTTTAATATATTTCAGTTTACCTGTAATGTAGCCATATGCCATTAAAGAATTGCTGACAATAATCCTGTTCTCTGGAAACTTTGAACTTCTGATAACTGGGTGTTCCCCTATGAATAACAAAGAAAACTAGTTTAACAGTTTATTTACCTCAACTGCACAGATGTTCTATATAAAGTGAACTGTATGGTGTACTGTCACCTTTTTTGGTGCTCTGGTTAGGAACTGAGGTAGTTTGGAAACTGCTGGGATCAGCCTCCTTGAGTAAACTTTGCGGAACTGAAAAAAGGCCCAGTACAAAGAGTTAAAATCTTCCAACTCCCAGGATCTTTCAATGCAGGGCTGATGAGTAATCTTTATTTTTCCTGTGAACTGATCCTGCCTTCCAATCAGTAACATAAGCCTGGCATTCAAAGCAATCACAGGAAGTTTTACAGGAAGCCCCGAGGCCTACAAATGCCAGGCTCTTTCCCTATTTTTATTTCCAAACAACTTCTGTATCCATTGTAATTTATGAGACGGGAAGAAAACAGACGGGTAAATCAACAATCTGAGATGAGACAAAGGCCACGTGTTAGTCTTTTCCCACACTCTCAATCAATGATTTAAGATCTCTCAAACTGATTAAAGATCTGCCTTGCCGTGAAGATGGCACGCCATACTGTAACTGTATTCAGAACATTCAAGACACAGACATTCAAACAGATTTTGCTTTGGGAAGATTTTGATGGAAATGAGAGCATTCATACCGCATGCATAGAGGACAGTGATATACTTTTTTGTTCCAGGAGGGCAGGGGTTTTTGAAATGTTCCTCATCTACGGTAAACAAACACCTCTGTTTTCCATAGCAAATGTTGGATACCACATCAACGGCTCCGTGAAAAAGACATTCTGTAATATTAAAGAGATTTTTTTTTTAAATGTCTCATTATCAAGTACCAAACTACAAAAATAAACAAAATGTGCTCAAAATTAAAACAGAATTTTATAATATATTACAATAGATTCAAACATATTCAAATGTCCACTTAAATTAGACTCTTTTTTTTTTTACTCATTTAACAGCAAATTGTCTAACTGCAAAGCCTAATTTTATATAATAATAAATGTAAATCTTACTATCTTACTAAATCCAAAAACGTACCAAATGGTGGAGGTTCTTGTTTCTCTGATGGGCACAAGTCTTCATCTTCCAGCTGTCTTCCATAAACAGCAGAGTAGATATTCAGCACTTTTGGATACTTGCAGTGCAGCAAAAGTCGATCTCCCTCACATGTTATTCTCTTCTTGTGCTCTGCTGTAAGACAAACATCTTTACTGATGTACAGGAGTAAATAATTGAAGAAGAAGTAATCAATTCAAGCTTAAAAGGAGGAAATACTTACTAGGTTTACACCTGTATGATACATGGAGGTATTTAGGGGTTCCAGGACAAGGATCTCTGCCAAAGACTTGATGATTAACCAGAAACTGGCAATTTCTATGACCCTGGCATTCAGAGAGCACTTTCTAACAGAGAGAGATAATCAAAAACCATAGAATGTGCGTTATACAAAAGGCAGGGAAAATGTAGTAGCCTTGTGCTGATTCTGGAAAACACATAGCCTATCTTTTATGAGCCAGAAGTGAATAAGATTGCCAGAGGAGTCTTGTCTTACAACATCTTAGGTCTGTTTTCACCATGGGACTATTGAAAAGGTACTAAAACAGCTTTATTAAGTTAGTGTTTAGTGCATGTAAAATGAAAAGTCTGTTTTTTTGTCTGAAAGCAAAGCACAGACTATTCACCTGCAGCGCTGTAGTAGCAGAACAGCTGTGATTACGCCATTGGCATCTCATTCCTGGCACGATCCCGGGAAGGGTTGCACTCTGTCCATAAAATGCAGACTGAATAGTTATGGTGGAGTGTCCTGGACACCTGAGGAGCAGGAGATCTCCATCACAGGCTTGAGCTGATTGACTGTTGATGATCCTAAACAGATAATCTAACGAAAAGGTGGAGAGGTTGGATCTATAAGAAGTTATTAAAAATGTGTAATGTTATTTAATTATTTAAATAAATTATTTGGATGTTTTTATATGATATTTTTAGAGCCATTAAATGAAAATTATTATTGTGAAGAAAAAGTTAGCCTATCAAACCATCATGAATCCAAAAATGTGTCACTGACCCATACATGTAAGTTTATGTATCAAAAAATGAATATACTTTTTAAAATGATTGTTCTCATTATTGTTAGTGAATACTGCAACCATAATATTTGCACTTACTGTAAATCATTATATTATTGACTCACTTGAGAAATCGGAGAGTCCGTCCATTTCTTTGGTCCACAGTATGAGAACACTGTAAAGTATTTGAACACATAGCGCAGGTGCCGGGCAGCTTCTCAAGCGCTGCGCTGAGATCATGTTCAAATCCTTCAGTTATTTCTGCATCAAAGCCGCGTGCTGGAGAAACGCTGTCAGGAATTCCCGTCTGTCTCTCTCTCTCTCACCTGCCAGAGAGTTTCACCCAGCTTAAAGTATGTTTTCATACCGCGACTTTGACATCCCAGTCCTTTCAAGCCAAACTCTAAGAAAGCGAACCCCTCGAAATCGTTTCTCCCTTGATTAAAGAGAAATCAGAGGATATGACACAAAAAGCAAACATTTCAAAGCGACGCATGCAGTCACTGAAGGAAGCCTATAGGGAAATAACAAGTGCGCAACAAGTCAGTGGTGCCTGAAAGCAGCGACATTCGCACTATTCATTCCATTGCTGATGATTTTAGGGTCCTTAGTGAGACAACAAATGGTAATAAGTGGTTTCTTGGCACTCAGAAAGTGATTTTTGAGGAGTTTGTTGAGGAAAAACCATAGGGAAAACGCATTTGAACGGGGCGTGGCGTTGAATGCCTCAAATAGGCAGCGCGGTGGAGTTGAGAAGCACTGACAACAGTATTGTAACCTATCTGATTGAAATGCATTCACAGTAATATCATTCATATGATTAATAATTAATAATATTTCATATAGTCATTTAAGCGGCTTTGCCTTCGAAGCCAAACCTTTTTGGACTATTAAACCTTTATAAAATGTATATATAGTTCAAAATACCGTTCCTTCCCAGAAATATTTCGTTCATGTGTGTGAGTGTGTTTGTGTTAGAAATGTATTTATTGTCTGTTTGGTCATGTTTATAATATTCTAAAATCGAACCTCACACGATGAAGTGATACTCCGTTGCAGCAGGGGGCGCTACGCGCTTGTCATTTGATCAATACTCACTGCAAAACCGCAGAAGTAGAGCTGCCCGCGTACGTTTGAAGACGTTGAAAATATATATTGAATTGAGCGATTTTGATATTCCGTCTGAAATGGCAGGCAAAATTAAAGTTGCGGATGACTGTAGCTATAAAACATACTCTGTCTGCGAGAGTGCCGCTGATAGCAGCAGCAGAGTGGAGGAAGATGGAGAAAGCGACGGTCCAGCGGTGTTTATGTGCGGCAAATGCAAGCTGCCCATCGGCGACAGTCTGTCCTGGTCCGGCAGTGACGACGAGCATAACCAAATCATGCTCAAACGTAAAAGATTATTATGTTTTTATGGCTCTTGTCTGTAAAATGCTGGTTATAACTTGATGTCTTGGGTTTATATACGCTACTATTCAAAAGTTTGAAAGGAATGAATACTTTTATGTACCAAAGACGCATTAAATTGACCATGGGTAACAGAAGACATTTATAATGCAACAAAAAACTATTTTAGGGAATTGTAGTTTTTTTAAAACTTCCTGCTAATCAAAGAATCCTGAAAAAATGTTTCCACAAAAATATCACGCAGCAAAAACTGCTACAACACTGACAATAATAAGAAATGTTTCAAATGACCATATTAGAATGATGTCTGAAGAATCATGTGACACTGAAGACAGGAGTAATTTAGCTTTGCCTCCTAGAAATAAATTATATTTTAAGAGATTAAAGTACAAAACAATATTTTAAATCGTAAAAATATTTAATACTATTACTATTTTTAGTGTATTTTTGATCAAGTAAGTGCTAGGTGAATATAACAGACTTTTTCATAAACATGACATTTTTCATGTTTATGAAAAATTTCAGACTTTTTTATAAACATGACCTTAAACTTTTGAATGGTAGTGTTTACTATCGGTTGACTCATGCATTTCGAAATATTGTGATTTTAGTTTTGGCTTTGCATGCATTCGTTAAAATAGCATAATACAACTGTGGGTAACAACAGTTTAAACATAAAAAATATATTTTTAACGTTTTTTTAGGGATCTCTGACAATGTTGTCATAGGTAAAGAGCCCTTTGTTTCTGGTACCAGAAAGGAGCTTGGATGGTGAGATATGTTTTATTTATTTATACATGTGTGTAGAATCATACATGTGTTTTTCCACCTAAACATGAAATCAATGTCTCTGAAAATTTGTCTCTCACATTCAGTCTTGTTGTGAATCTCACCTGCCGTGGCTGTTGCTCAGAATTAGGAATCATGTACATATCAACCCCAAAAAATCTTGATTACAAGAGATCTCTTTTCTGCTTTAATGTTGAAAATATTGAAAGGTAAGTAGCCTATTGTGCACAAGCCTGTGCAATGTTCATCGTTAGTCTTTTTTATAATCACATTCACTTTTGTGTATCACACTGAGGACAAGGTTGTGTCTTTCTGTAGTTATATAGTCAGCGGTCCAGGCCAGCGGGTGCCAGTATTAGACAGAGAAGACAAACCAGTGACCCTGGAGTACCAGAACATTGTGGAACAGCAGATGACAGAGGTAAAGTAGCCCTTCTAGAGACTGTTTAAATTATTGATTTACGAGCATGATGCAAACCGATGTAAGTCTCTCTCTCTTTAAAAATAAGCAATTTCTTTTGCACTACAAATGCATAGATTAATGGCAATATTGAATGTGTAGAGAATATGACAAAAATAATATTTGATATCAAACTTTATGAGGGGAAATTATTTTAACTTAAAAACAATAGAACCTGAATTTTTAATTGTTTTAATTTGAATTTTTCCTAAAAGAAATGAATTCTAAAACAAAAAAACATTCCAGTATAGGTGAGGTACACAGAAGAAAATGGAATTAAAGCTGTTGAAAAAGGTTATCTGTGCTTTTTTTTGTGTTTTTTAACACGCACAAGTAAACAGCAGATGGCGCTCTTGCGGTGCTTCCAGAGCTCTTTGTTTGGTCACTGAGTCCGCAAACAATAGACATTAGGATCTGTTGAAGAATTTGATCTAGAAAAGGGTGTTGACAGTTATGTCTGTTTGTGATTGTTAATGTTTTAATTTCATATTCCTTGTCTGTGTGCTTGTCAAATAAATAAAATAGAACTTCTGACAAGATTTACAAGAGGATTCCTGTGGGTGAATCCTGTGAATTAATAATTTTCCAGATATTATGTATTTGTGCTTTGTGTTCTGGCAATTAGTTTTTTTTTATCATTTTATATATGTATATGTATATATGTGTGTGTGTGTGTGTGTGTGTATATATATATATATATATATATATATATATATATATATAAGAAAACATAATTGCAATTTTGTAATGCGCACACACACACACATATATATATATATATAAACAAAATTACACATTACAAAATTTTACTGTCTGACCTCTTATACTCTAATGTACCTTTCAGATAAAATCTCTAGCTGTGATAATAGGACAACGCCTACTGGAGATTGAAAATAACCTCCAGTGCAATTCTGGAAAATGATATGAGCTGTCTGTTTTATGACTGAGGGTAATAATCCCATGCATCTTTTGTGAATGAGGTTTGTGGACTCTTTAGTGTAAGATAGTTTTGTCTAGACAGTTATGTATTTATATGTATTTACTATACAGTTGAATGCAAGTGATACATTTGTACCATTTCCTACCGTTTATTAATGTTAAGCTCCACGCATTCTAAGAGATGTATAAGTACAGTACATAGATTTTGTGACGATTGTATTGTACTTTAAAAGCTGCTGTACTCTTACTGGAGAACATGTGTTTGTCTGCATCTCATATTTTGTCATGTGCTATCCTTGTGTTGTTGTCATATGTGATGTTAGTCTTTACAAGATGTATACACAGGGTGAACGTGTACAATAAATATAATGTTAAAGCAAAACACGTGTTGTTGTTTTTTCCCTCCTCTTGTTTGTTTTTGATACTTCATCGTTTGCATCAAAACATCCCTGCCCAACCCTCTGAAAAACTGGTTCAATAATAAGTGGATGGCGGGAGAAGGAGGGGGCATGTCGCCTCAAGCCATTTTTTTGTTTACAGTTCCTGTCTAATGTGCCTAGTAACACTTTCCACCAGGAGGCGGGAAAAGACTCGTAGAGACCCTGAAGGCGCGCACCCCCAACCCTCAAAGCTGGGGTAGCATAACAACAGCGGCTGATAGAATCCGCGCACCTCGGACCAACCAGAGAGCTGTAGCTAAGGGCCATACTGCCATGGAAACAAAGCACACATGCTGTCGCTAGAGCCTGTTGCCATCGCATCCGTCGTTTCCTTATTTGCCGGCCAGCGAGTCAGCCAACCAGCTTGCGGGGGTTGACGTTGCGCTTCAGTCGTTCGCAGGGGCGTGGTCTCCATCTCCCGCGCCAGCACAGAGTTCTTCATTCTTGTGCCTTTTAACTCCTACGTTCTGCCTGTAAACCCAGCAGAGTTAAAAATAGGGACAAGAGGTAAAACATGCATACAGCACATGGTATTATAGCATCATGTTTACTGCTTGTGTCCAGTAGAGGGAAACATCACTCTATATGTGGCAAAATAGCCAATTATATCTGTACTAGTTGGTGAGGACTCATCTAAGTAAAGACCGGATTACACCAAGAACAATAACAATAAACGATATCTGTATCAGGGTTTACACCAACGGACAAGAATTTTCTGTTAGAGGGGTCATATGATGCTGCTAAAAAGAACATTATTTTGTGTATTTGGTGTAATGAAATGTGTTTATGCGGTTTAAGGTTAAAAAAAACTATTTTCCACATACTGTACATTATTGTTTCTCCTCTATGCCCCGCCTTTCTGAAACGCGTCGATTTTTACAAAACTCATCGGTCTGAAAAAGCGAGGTGTACTGTGATTGGCCAGCTATCCAATGCGTTATGATTGGCCGAATACCTCAAGTGTGTGAAGGAAATGTTACGCCCCTCACCATACTGTGATGCCCTGTCTCGTTCCGAGTGGGTCTCGGGCATGGGAGGCGGACGCACTAACAAGGAGGCTAAAGACTGCAGCCACTAGCGTCAGTCGCTAGTGCGTCTCTTGAGATCAGGGGAGTGAGGTTTTACCTGCACAGCACCTACCGCTGGCCTCCGTTACATGCGCTTAGAATAAACAGACGATATCGTTCACTGGTGTGGACGCTAATATCGTTATCTTTATAGTTATCGTTCTTGGTGTGAACGGGCCTTAAGACTTTTACTCAAGTAATATTCTAAATGGTGACTTTACCTTCTACCTAAGTCATTTTCTGGTAAGATATCTGTAATTTTACTTGAGTATGGCTTTCAGGTACTTTATACACCACTGCCAAAAGCAAACTGGTTCGGTTCGTTTCATTTGTGGTTTGTGGCTTGATTTCCTCATAATTTGTGAAAGCAATGAGGTCCCGGTATGCTTTTTATGGACCAACTTAACAGTAATATGAGTAATATGAACTAAGCAGGTTATTATTTTTATGTATATTTATATGTATAGTTTATGATTATTATTTTTATTATTTATCAGAATCAGAATCAGAATCAGAAGAGCTTTATTACCAAACTTAACAGTAATATGAGTAATATGAACTAAGCAGGTTATTATTTTTATGTATATTTATATGTATAGTTTATGATTATTATTTTTATTATTTATCAATGTAATTTCAGATATTTCAATCTCTTGTTACATTTTTAAAAGATAAGTAAATAAATAATCCAAATGTTAACTCTAACAATACAAAACAATTCTGTTGCCATTTATGTAATCTAGGGCTAGCTGTGCATTAATTGATTTTAATGCATGAGGGAGGCAAATAACCATCTGATGCGCAGCTGAAATTTAGCATTCTGTCTGCTTTAAATCAGACATCAGAACATCAATTTTACCGTGCTCGTAAATATTTCTGTGTGCGCAGCGCGATCTCCGGCATGTCTGCCAAGTGATGTGTGTGTGTGCGCGTGTCAATGAAAGCAGTGAAACAATATAGCAGCAATATAAAGTTAGTAGCAAATAAACATTTTAATACTACCTTAACTGAGTAAAAAAAGGAAATTGAAATAACTTTATACATAATGTTCCCTTTTAATTTTAAATTTGACTGAAATGCATTGTTAAAGCTCTGTGAATATTTTGACCAGTGACATGATCAGGGATTGCCTGCTCTGCCTCACCTCCTTCCCTGTTCACTTCATCTTCCATATTTTCCTAAAGGTAAGATGCCAGCATTCCTCTGCTGCTCAGAGAGCTGGGGTCTGAGTTCTTATGAAGTTGTGGTGTGAACAAGAAAGGGTTTGAGATCACTTTAATGCTGAAGTGGACCAAGAAAAGAACCAGGTTCTCTTTTGAGTCCACTAGAGTGTGAACACCAAAAGGCTTAAGGTCCCTTTCAGCTGGTTCCCTAATTGAGCTGGGTTTGGTTCCTTTAAAACAAACTATATGTGAAAACACCCTTATTTAACTCATGTGATTCAGATCACCAGCACGTTAAGAGCTACATGAACTCAGCTGAGTGTGTCAGATAAGGGAGACATAGAAAATGTGCGGAGCAGTGGGTCCCCAGGACCAGGATTGAAAACCACTGGACTAGTCTACTTTAATGCTCTGCCATGACGCTTTAATCTTGACGTCGACTAGTCGCGGGCCTGTCTATCTTATGTTTCAACACGGAAGTAAGCTATTTTCTGTCAATGTGCGAGACTTACGGTTCATTAACCTAGGGAAATAACGAGAAGAATAACAAAGTGCAGTAAATAGTAAAACAGTTTAAAATATATATTTTTTAAATTTGGTAAAAATTTGGATAATACTTTAAAATAATATGATAAGATACACCAGTTTGAAATATAAAGCCGCAAAATGAGGTGTTTTGTACAGCTAAAAATGATACCAGAAGCCAGACACATTCAATTTACAAATGGCCACGCCCGCTCTTACGGAAAAATAAGGTGGATAGAGGGCACAACAGGATAAGAAATCTTTGAAGTCAATATTTACGCTCCATTTCCAAACTGTTAAAATGGCAAATAAATGCATATTCCGAAAGGGCTCCACAAGATGTGTGGAACGTGTGGAAATGCACGTTTCAAATAGCTTATTGTATAGGTAAGTTAATCGCGTGTGCTGTATTGTTATGCACACACATAGGCTACAGACAGTAGCTCGTACATCGCGCGCTAAGCTATTTTCTGTCAATGTGCGAGACTTACGGTTCATTAACCTAGGGAAATAACGAGAAGAATAACAAAGTGCAGTAAATAGTAAAACAGTTTAAAATATATATATTTTTTAAATTTGGTAAAAATTTGGATAATACTTTAAAATAATATAAGATACACCAGTTTGAAATATAAAGCCACAAAATGAGGTGTTTTGTACAGCTAAAAATGATACCAGAAGCCAGACACATTCAATTTACAAATGGCCACGCCCGCTCTTACGGAAAAATAAGGTGGATAGAGGGCACAACAGGATAAGAAATCTTTGAAGTCAATATTTACGCTCCATTTCCAAACTGTTAAAATGGCAAATAAATGCATATTCCGAAAGGGCTCCACAAGATGTGTGGAACGTGTGGAAATGCACGTTTCAAATAGCTTATTGTATAGGTAAGTTAATCGCGTGTGCTGTATTGTTATGCACACACATAGGCTACAGACAGTAGCTCGTACATCGCGCGCACAGAATCATTCAGTAGCTCGGAATTGTCAACACTGTTCTGTGATTTCTCAATAAAATAGCTTAGAAACAGAAAAGTTCTAGCATAACTACAAGCTTCACTATTAGTAGAGAGACACTGCCAGGTAGAATTAATTCACACATGCAATCGCTATCTAATGTAGTCGACTCGACTTTCATCACATAAATGTCGGCTTTAAAGGTTCTGAAGTTGTCGACTCTGTTAGCGCCGTTGCGCTTTGGGCGTCCCGTGTTCGAGTCCCGGCTCGCTGACGTTTCCGATCCCATCCCCACTCTCTCTGCCACTTCACTTCCTGTCTCACTACTGTCTTATTAAATGGCAAAACTTATTAAAAGGCAAAAATCGGCAAAAATAAATCTTTAAAAAAAAATCTATAGTTTTTCAACCCCTAGTTTATTATAAGTGCGCATTGTAGTTTTGTCATCTGCCACTTTAAATGCTCCAGTTCTTTAAAGTCGGGTTGAAGCCGGGTTATCCACCTTTTTCATCCCATAAGAGTGGGCGCAGCCATATTTGTAAATTTTATAGGTCTAGCTTCCGGTCTCATTGCCTCCAGCTATTTTTAGCTATACAAAACAGCTCATTGATATTGAAAAATGGTGTGTCTTACAATATTATTTTAATGTATTATCTTAATTATGAACACACTGGTTTGTATTGCAAACAGTTTTACCATTTACTGCACGTTGTTATTCTTCTCGTTATTTCATAATGGCTAATGAACCGGAAATCTCACCCACAGGCTTACTTCCGCATTGAAGAATAAGGATCTGCAGTGTGAACGTTACTATTCGTATAGAATGATTATTAAAACGTTATAGTTATTAGTTATTGTGTTCAACAAACGCACTCAAGATAAAGGTTGCATAAAATATTAGTTAAGATTCGCTCGTTGTTTGCTTCGGTGTCCTGTTCTTCTGGTTACAACAGGTGCCGAAAGGTGAGTGTTTTTATGTGTTCCTGAATCATTGAATCATTCACTTAAACCGATTTGTTAAACAACTCTGACTTATTAAATGGCAAAACTTATTAAAAGGCAAAAATCGGCAAAAAAAAAAATTTTTTTAAAAAAAAAATCTATAGTTTTTCAACCCCTAGTTTATTATAAGTGCGCATTGTAGTTTTGTCATCTGCCACTTTAAATGCTCCAGTTCTTTAAAGTCGGGTTGAAGCCGGGTTATCCACCTTTTTCATCCCATAAGAGTGGGCGCAGCCATATTTGTAAATTTTATAGGTCTAGCTTCCGGTCTCATTGCCTCCAGCTATTTTTAGCTATACAAAACAGCTCATTGATATTGAAAAATGGTGTGTCTTACAATATTATTTTAATGTATTATCTTAATTATGAACACACTGGTTTGTATTGCAAACAGTTTTACCATTTACTGCACGTTGTTATTCTTCTCGTTATTTCATAATGGCTAATGAACCGGAAATCTCACCCACAGGCTTACTTCCGCATTGAAGAATAAGGATCTGCAGTGTGAACGTTACTATTCGTATAGAATGATTATTAAAACGTTATAGTTATTAGTTATTGTGTTCAACAAACGCACTCAAGATAAAGGTTGCATAAAATATTAGTTAAGATTCGCTCGTTGTTTGCTTCGGTGTCCTGTTCTTCTGGTTACAACAGGTGCCGAAAGGTGAGTGTTTTTATGTGTTCCTGAATCGTTGAATCATTCACTTAAACCGATTTGTTAAACAACTCTGAGTCGTTCACTATCACAAATACATGTCTTTTTGTTCTTTATTAAAATGTGCGTGACAGCAAATCTCCAGAAATGAACGAAATGCCCTACTCTCTTACAATGTCTGGTTCATTTCGTTCACAAATAGCATCGGTTCAGTGCCTCATTGAAACTCAAACTCGTTCATTGAAGAAGCATATTCGTTCATGAGTCCAAAAATAAAATGCTCCTTCACAACACTGAGTCTTCCAACTAAAGCAGATCAAAAGGACATTGGTGAATGATAAATGTAAGAATTTTAAAAAGGAATTCTCGTTTACTTAAAATATTTCAAAACATTGATTTGTTCACCAACGAATGAGGACTGAACTGTACATATGTTGTTGTCTTTGTTAATTTATGTATTTGTTCTCCCATAGCCTAATTTTTCCACCTGCTCTGCCAGCCGCTGTCACTTTGATTAATGGATGCTGGCTGCAATCTTAGAGTGCATCTCACTTGAACTGAAGTGCTGATGCACTGCACTTTCAGTATGATCTTACCCCCCCATCCACCTCCCTCTCAGTGTCCAGACATTAACACACACACGCGCGCACAGTTTGTCCTGGAGGACTGGTGGGCTGGTAATCAATAATGTAGACAGTCTGATTAAGCGAAGGTTACTTCTTTGCAAATAACCCCGTGAGGCAATCGACACAAGGACTGTAGAGACAAACCCTCCAATAGCAGCGGAGCTCAAAACAGGATTTGCCAGTCCATTCTTGCTAATATGCAAATTGAGTGTTGCGTGGAACAGCTGCCTTCTCATTTGTCTGTATTCACCTCAACATTTCATTGGACTTTATGATTGAAAGAATTGTGACATGTTGAACTTTGACACATACAGAATGTGCTTTTTTAAAAAATGCTGTATGCAAATATTATTTTACAGGACAAATGCTTTGGATTCCAACATCTAGTTCAAAACGCTGTTAAATAATTGTGAACCAGGACCACAAAACCAGTCATAAGGGTCAATTTTTTTAAATTGAGATTTACATATCATCTGAAAGCTGAATAAATAAGCTTTCAAATAAGCATTGATGTATGGTTTGTTAGGATAGGACAATATTTGGCCGAGATACAACTATTTGAAAATCTGGAATCTGAGGGTGCAAAAAAATCAAAATATTGAGAAAATCGCCTTTATAGTTGTCCAAATTAAGTCCTTAGCAATGCATATTACTAATCAAAAATTAAGTTTTGATATACTTACAGTAGGAAAATTACAAAATATCTGCATGGAACATGATATACTTCATATTCATGGAACATGATATACTTCATATTCTAATGATTTTTGGCATAAAAGAAAAATCGATAATTTTGAACGACTTCATTTTGTTTGTATTGTTGGCTATTGCTACAAATATACCCATGTGACTTATGACTGGTTTTGTGGTCCAGGGTCACAAATGTAAACAATATAAGATAATTTTGTGATTTCTGTCCTCAAAATCAAAATTACAATATCATTTTTAATATAATAAAATAAATGTTATAATTTATATAATGATTAAAATGTTTTTATTTTTTATATTTGTTGGCCAAAACAATACTTTTTACATTACACTGAAAGTGTTTTGTGTTTTAGAAATAAGTTGTCACATGTTTTAAAACTTATACATTTATAGAATATATTTATTAAAATATTTGTTTGCCAAAACAATCATTTTTACATTACATTGAATCAGAATTTTATGCTTTATAAGTAGATTTAGCTGAAAAGTCTAAGATATTTTAATTGTTTAGTTATGACAACGTGCCCCTTACCGTGTTACGATACTCCACACAAAACTTTAAAGTGTCCATACAGAAACTAAACTTCAAAAATAAACACCCTGAAAACATGTGATAACTAGCCCTGTGAATATTAATTGTCTGTTTTTTCCAGACAATCAGACACAAAGAAAATATTCCTGAGCTGGAAAAAAAAACCCTTTTGAAAACAGGATTAGTCTCAATCAGGGTTTAAGCCCGAACAGATTGAGAGATTGAGACTCTAATGATGGTCTTAGCCATGTAACAACAGTAAACAGTGATTTGCACACCCTGTCCAAAGGGTTGGGGATTTTAACTCGTGACATTGCCACATTAACATGCCCTGGTAGTCCAATGCTGATGACACTAGAGAGGATATCCGTGATTTCTTTATCCTTCCTTTTGCTCAGGTTATGATGTCAGCAGGTTAACTCGACATTTGTGGAGCCCTTCTATTCTTGTGTTAAGAAGACACAACACAACACTCAGGTTCTTAATGGAAAACTTATTTCAGTTCTGCTGACACCGAGTGCTTTCTGACTAGCCTCTTGTTTGCATTGTATTGTATCCTTAAATCAATCAATCAGCACTTAGTAGTAGGTAAATACAGTAATGTTTACAGTGAATTACAGTTATAATCGGAGTTCAACACAAGCTCAATCAGCACCACTTATGGCATAATGGTGATAATATAAGAGTTTCAAAGTTGTTTTGCTGGACATGTTTTGGGAAATTCTTTGTTTTTATTCGATATTTCATGGTACATGAATATTATAATCTGATTGAGATTCATATTTGATATCATCACTTTACCACAGAACTGTCACAGTACTTCATTTTAAGGGCTTGATGGATGTTCTTGAATCAGTCAGAGCTAAAACATTCAGGTAAAAGCGGATTGTGTGAAGTAAGATGTTCGGTGTAAATGTTGTTCTACATCATCTCACAGCCAATATATCTTCAGCTCATGTTGTTGTTGTGTATTACTCCGCATTAGATGCTTCGATAAGCTTTGTTTTTTTTTATCATAGCTTGTTTTCGAAAGGATTTTCGATGAGTGTCGTCCTTTGTAAACAAAGAGTTGTTTTAATATACTTTGCAGCCTCTTTTGTCCTTCAGCTTTTATCAGCTTAGCCGCACAGATTTATCAGGGCTTGAGTGTATGTGTCTGTGGGTCACCCCCCCCCCCTTCTTTGTCTCCTGTATGGGGGCCCAAGAGGGGGTATCCCCTTCTTTGTCTCCTGTATGGGGGCACAAGAGGGTGTATAATATGAGTGTTTGTGCATGTGAGGGTGCAGCTGACTGGATTATCTGACACGGAGTCTTTCAGCTGTCACTTATTTAATGGTTATTGCTGGGTTCTCGTGGGAAAAGCATACAGAGTTACACCAAGTCACCTGTTTCTCCGTAAACGACTGTTAGAATTTAGATTCTGTGACAAATTGTTTAAATACCATCAAAAAAGAGACATTTGATGTATGTATGAACAAAAGAAATACAAATCTGTATTTAGGTTTTGTGCATTTATTTGTGTCAAAGAAGTAATACATGCTGATTTAAAATAGAAAATTCAGAACAGAAATAATATTTTTTAAATATAAATATTTAAAATCTTTTTTACATCATTAGAAAATCTTTTTTTTTTAACTTGGCAAAAATCAAATCAATACAAAACTTACAAAAGACCTTCAAATTCCTCTTCACCGTAACAAAAGTACAAAGACGTGTCACCAAAAAACTGACATCACATTTTTTTTTTAAACCCTGGTGTGCATGCAAAAGTGTAGCTGAGATGAGAAAAAATGTTTTCACAGCTTATACTCTTCGGTGCACGTGAAGACTGTGAAAGAGGTCTGCTTTGTAAATCTAATGTGTATTGACAGCATGAATCACCTTTAAACACATGGAATGAAAGACACTTGTGTTCTATGGTGAGAAAACACCACCCTGGTTATAACCAGGTCAGCCATCAAATATATACATACTATTGCACAATCCATTATTTCACCCAACATTTACTTTGTAGATAAATGAATCTTATACACTAAGAGTTCAAATAACACTGAAAATCTTCCATTGCAGCCCAAAGGCTGAATGCAAGATATTTAAGGCTATACAAAATGCCAGCAATCCCCTAAAGAGGAAAAACAAGAGGAATGTCATCTTCCAATTAAATAATGACAGTTTCACTACAGGTTTAAAAGTGAGGCAATTAGAAAAGTTCAGCATTGTTGACCTGAGTGTCATTACAATTTGAGGTTAAATACAGTAAGAGCTTAAAAATGACTAATATTGTTTGGTCAAATAAGCACGCTGTCAAACCCCCCCCCCCCACACACACAACCATTCATTAACAGTCTTAGTTGTATTACTGTACATGAACACATATTAGTACACACATTATTGTGGGCAGTGACAGCATTGTTTCACAGAAGAATTGTGCGTTAAAGGTTGTGGCTAAGCTGCTACATGGCACTTGGACTAGAATCGTGTTGTATATGTGCTGCTGCATGTGAACTTGATGTTCAGTATCTACTGTCCTGGGGCTATGTAACCTCAAGATCTAATTTTACACAGTGTTCAGAGCCTATATGTTCTCTGCAAGCCTTCACTCAAGCTATGTGTATGACAAATGCCAAATAACTCCCTGCGGGGTTAGCAATATATCTGGTCTACGAGTGGGAAGCCCAACTGTTCAAACTGCCAGCATTGTTGGTGAGATAACACGTTACTGCATACATCTGACTTTATATAATCTAAAAGTTCTTCTCCTCAGCACAGGGTTTTGAGAGCCCCTGTGGCACAGATCAGAGTTTGCATATGGTAGGGAGTTGGAGACTCCACTTCCACCACACGCTCTGGCCTGAACGGCAGCTGAATCCTGAAGGGCGACACCTTTTTCTTTAAAATCTGCCCGATGCACATGGAAGGGAACTTGATGCGGAGCTGAGGGCTGTCTGGTTTATCGCTACCCCTGCTACTAGGCGGGGTACCGCTTGACTCTGAGGAGCTCAACCACACTGAAGCAGGAGGACTTTTCTTGGGTTGAGGTTTGATGATGAGAACAGGTGGGCTGTCAGGTTCATCGCTACCCCTGCTGCTAGTTGAGCTACCGCTTGACTCTGAGGAGCTCATGCACTCTGAAGCTTTCTTGGGTTGAGGTTTGACGATGAGAACAGGTATGCATGGGATTGTGGCCTTCTTCAAGTACGAGCTATCGGGCTGAAAAGCAGACACGTGTCGAGGTGGAGAGAGCTCTCCGTTGGTCAGCTTGTACCATGGTGATGGAGGAGTGACTTTGCTGGGTTCCTTGCTTGCGGAAGCCCAGGAATGAGCGGCGAGGGAGGAAGGTGGGCGAGCGGGGACGTTGACAGCTTTTGGGGAATCTTTGGATCTGTCTTTCTGGTCCGGCTGGGTCTCGGGTGTAGGATGGGTTGGGGTCGACTGTGGGGTTGGGTACAGGGGGTGGATCTCCATGTACTCCAGAGAGGATGAGGTGATGCAACCATCACGTCCTGAGTAAACATCTTTAAAACCTCCAGTCACAGCTTTCAGAAGACCTGAAAATGAGAGAGGAAAGAGTTTGAACTTGAGTTTTTGGTTGAACTATCGATCTAAGAGAAAAAATTCCAACTAAATGTACTATGTTCCCTGTTTTATTGAGTTGAAGCGTCTTTGAGGCTCTGAATACTTCAGTATAGTCACATGGCTTGGCAAGTTTTCCATTACAGAAAGTGAAAGTCTGCTGGGCTAGAGAATGTCTTTTGAGATTTAGCACTTGACATTTTAAATTGCTTTAAGAGAAGATGTTTTAGGTTCTTTTGACTGTTCTTGTCTAAAAAAGGAAAATAAGGCAAAACAACATAGGACCCAATTGATTTTGATTGTATGGACAGACAAACAAACAAACTGAGACATTTTTCTAAATATCTTTTGTGTTCCACAAAAGAAAGTAAACCTTACAGGTTAGAAGTGATGTGATGGTGAGTAAACTTGAGTTTTTGGCTGAACTATCGATCTAAGAGAAAAAATTCCAACTAAATGTACTATGTTCCCTGTTTTATTGAGTTGAAGCGTCTTTGAGGCTCTGAATACTTCAGTATAGTCACATGGCTTGGCAAGTAAGAGTGAGTGGAACAGGTTTTCTATACATGTCTAACATGTGCCCTGTGAAGTCATCTTTAATCTTCAAACTTCGGTGATCTTTCTACGTGATAACAACCTGAACAGCCCTAAAGGGTTTACAAGTTTGATTTACTGTCACCGTTTGCCAAGTACAAATTTTTGGACTATCCCTCAGGTATCAGAGCTTATTTCAAAGCTACTTTCAACAAAGAGCTATATTTAATTTGTACCATTGTATATACATTACATTTAGCCATTTAGCAGACGCTTTTATCCAAAGCGACTTACAAATGAGGACAATGGAAGCAATCAAAATCAACAAAAGAGGAATGATATGCAAGTGCTATAACAAGTCTTAGTTAGCTTAACTCAGTAGATGTAGCAAGTTTTTTTTTTTTATTATATAATAAAGAAAAATAAAAAGAATAGAGCAAGCTAGTGTTAGAGGCCTTTTTGTTTTTGTTAATTGTATAATAAATAAAAAGAAAACGAATAGATAAAATACAAAAAGATTAGAAAAGTGCAGTGGTAGTTTTTTTTTGGGCAGGTCATTCCACCAGGAGGGAACATTTAATTTAAAAGTCTGTGAAAGTGATTTTGTGCCTCTTTGGGATGGCACAATAAAGCGACGTTCACTTGCAGAACGCAAGCTTCTAGACGGCACGTAAGTCTGAAGTAATGAATTTAGGTAAAGGGTTGCAGAGCCAGTGGTAGATTTGTAGGCAAACGTTAATGCCTTGAATTTTATGCAAGCAGCTATTTTATGTAGTATTTATTCTCATTCTCAGACAATTATTGTCACGTACTCCTAAATCACACATCAGTTGTGTGCCAAATCACATCTTAACCACATGGTTGGTTCATGCATGTCTATATTGTACTGTGTCTATAGTCTCTCACCATTTCTGTGTTTCTTCTCCTTGGTGGGACCTTTGTTCACAGCGAGATACGCGGGTGTCTGCTTGGGTGGAATCGTAATCTTCTCAATGGGCTTCCTCCATTGAGTCTGGAACAGCTCGCTCTTTTTCTCCTTCTCCATGTTGTACTGTTTCTCCTGTGAGAACCAGACAATGTTAAACTCATGAGACAAGAACTGAAATGCTTTTATGGAGGACATGTTGATGTCATTGTTTTCTCCAACTTACCCTGTACTCTTTTGAGATTCTCTTCATCTTGTTGTTGAGGAGGAAGTACACAGTCAGCGTGTGGCAAGCTTTGTTAGTGAGCACTGTGCTCAGAACCTCACTGTGTTTGTAGCCCATTTTCTCTGTCATGTGGAGCAGAACTATGTGGTTGATCTCCTCAATGTGGATCCTGAAAGTTACAAAAAAATATTTTAGGCCATAATAAGTCATAAAAGATCTAAGAGACAAGATCTGACTTTGACCTGCAAGCATATTAGGTGACTAACCTATTTAAGTAAGGAACTCCAGTGTGAGGGTTTCCCAACTGCAGCCATGGGTCTGCCATCACTTGGTGGATGTTGGGTCTCTTGACGGGGTCAGGCTCGAGAAGTTTCTTCAGCAGACTGGTGGCAGCTGTGAACACAGACAGGAAGACGTGAGGCCTTTGTGCTATCTTTCTTTAAGAAAATAAAAAAGGTCCTTGATCAGTCGCTGTGTTTAACTGATTTATTAGGACAAATCAATCATTATTTATTAGGACAAACACATTATGTTGTGGTAAAGATTATTCAGCCTTTCTCCTACATATTACATAAGTCAAAGAATGAGCGCGCAGCCTTGCGTCCTTGAGACGCTAAATACAGGCAGAGGCGGACAGTAACTAAGTACATTTACTTGAGTATTGTACTTAAGTACACTTTTTTACAGGTGTTATATAATGAGGCTAATCTCATTTCATCACTGCATCATCTTGTAGTAATATATCCAGTCACAGATTTAGTAGGCTAGTGAATGAACCACCTGTTAATGAGAACAATCATGTAAGTGTAACGCAATGGAAAACAGAATGCGATTAATCATAATGTTTACTGTATCCTCTTCTCAAACTAATTTTATCTGGAATTCTGCTTGCATCATATCAGTCAATGAAGAACAAAGATGAGACGACTCTTAAGGTACATACTATGGAAACACCTTAATTCTGTGGAAGGTTAATAGATGCTGTTAAGAAATCTGAACAAAGCAAATCATTCCTTGTGACTAAAACCAGTTTTTCTTGTGGTTGAAAAAAAGTCACCACTTGCCTGGCATGTTTGCAGTAAACATAGTGTTTATGAGCCAACGGCACTGCACTGAGAATTTTAAGTAGGACTTCTTGAGTATGTTGTAATTAAAAAATTATTACGATACTTAAAAATCTGTTGCATGCGATTGTGTTGGCACTCGAGCATGTTTTTCTATGTCAATCAGGTTTGTGATGCTGGCAACCGGCTACAAAATAGCATGAGAGAAGTCACTGGATCATGAAGATTCTCTGCTTTATTAAGATTTGGCTTTCATCACCTGAGATATTTGAAGGTGACATATCATGAAAATCTGACTTTTCCAAGTTTTAAGTGCTATAATCAGGTCCCCGGTGCATCTACCAACCAAGGAAATGTGAAAAAGATAACCCACTAACTTTGTTTTGATAAGCCTTTTTCTGCAAGCGTCTGAAAAAACGAACGCGTCTGATTTCGCTCCCCTAGTGACGTTGCAAAGTGATCTCATTATAATATTACCGCCCCTTAATCTGCACGTTTCCACCCACGGCGCCGTCATTTTGATTTTGCAATTGACAACGGTGTACCAGCTCTAATGCTAATGTTCTGCCTTTGGCTGCACTGACGAGCACAGAACATTATTTAGAGTCCCAGCCTCAGAGGAGACAAGAGAGCAGTGGATTTATTGATTTATTTACTGTATATTGCTGCTGCCACACAGATCTAAAATAAACATGCGATTTATTTCCGTTTAAACTAATATGGTTTAAAACGCATGATTTCAGCGCGATAAACATGATAATCAGAACCAAAACAGATGTTTTTAGCAGGTGCGAGCTGTAATGGCGCAGCTCTATTCTGGAAAAGGGGGCGTGGAAAAGCAGCTCATTTGCATTTAAAGAAAAAGGCACGAACAACAGCGTGTTTCTGCTTCCACTCAAAACAGGCATTTTCAAAATGATATAATAAATGATCTGTGGGGTATTTTGAGCTGAAACTTCACAGACACATTCTGGGGACACCAGAGACTTATATTACATATTGTAAAAAGGGGCATAATATGTCTCTTTTAAAACACCAGTGGGCACCAGACCCTCCCTATTGTTTTCAATTTAGCATTCAAAAGCATCATACTGGACTAAAAAAAAGGTGCAGTTTTACAAAGACTGCATTCATGCTCAACATTTGGAGCATGATGCCCATTAGAACCTAATTGGTAGGAGGACACACGCTTATTTTTAGCATGTAATAGTTGCTTGTTCTTGTTTCAATGCGACCTTTGTGGTCATAAAGAACCTTTGGGAATCTCAGAGATGCAGTTCTCTCAATACCTGAAGAGATAGATGGAGGTAGAGGGTTCATATCCTTGTCCACCATCCTTTGATGCAGGGCATTCAGGCTAAATGGCTCCACGGTGAACGGTAGGTTACCGGCCAGCATAGCATACATGTTCACCCCTCTACATTGAAACACATACATAGAGTCAAATTCAGAAAATTGTACCAAATGCAAACTTAGAACACGGTGCTTCACATTTCCTGAACTCACATTGACCAGACATCCACTTTGGACCCGTATTTCTTTCTTGAGAGAAGCTCAGGGGCGGCGTATGCTGGGCTGCCACACTGTGTGCTGAAGGGATCCGAGTATCCCAGAATACCCGCACAGTTACTAAGTCCAAAATCTGTATGGGAAAACAGAGAGAGGGTAATTGCGTGTACTTTCTCATAGAGGGACTGACCTTCCCACTAGGAGGGGTGCAAAAGGGTTTATGGCTGCCCAACACTAACCCCGTCTGTCACACACAGCTGCTAAATAAAAGCCATGCGTTTGTCAGCCGTCTCACAAAGAGGTGAGAGGTCATTTGTTTTTAATGAGATACTGATTGCTCAATCAGTCCTCACCACATGCTAAAGATGAACAGTTCCATGTCACTTCACTTTGTGTCATTAGGAGTCATTGAGACTTTGTGCTGTTCTTTGAGTAGCATTAAAAAACCCTGCGTAATGTAGATCTCGGACAATGCTTACCGATCAGCTTTATGTTGTCTTGTTCATCAAGGAGGAGATTTTCAATCTTTAAGTCTCTGTTGAAATTAAGACAGAAAAATGGATTTAAACATTCTTAATTTATCAAACCAGCCATCTGAACTAAAACAAAGACACAATATTCTCTGGAGTATCAACACATGGTTTCAGAATTAATTCACTTTTCTTTGGAAAGTCTCATTTAAAGTTCCCTTTCGTTTCTCACCTGTGAACAACTCCTGCCCTGTGCAGGTGCTCCACCGCCATGACTAGCTGGCGTACATATTTCTGGACTTCTCTTTCTTCCAGCCTTTTCTTCTCATAAATATGGTTCATGAGGTTTCCACCAGGGCAGAGCTCCATGACGAGATAGTAGCTGTTGTCCGTCTCCAGGATGTCCAGCAGTTGGGTGATGTTGGGGTGCCGGATCATCTGCTGAATATGTCCTTCACGACGCAAGTTCTTTGTGACATACGAGTCCTTTTTGGCCTTCTTCTTGTCAATCACTTTCACTGCCACCTGTGGGGAAAAATAAAAAAGGAAGATTTAGTCAATATATAAAACACAACTGGAGTGTTTAGTGGATGTACAGAATTATTCTAACAGCTCTGAACAGGTGAGGCAAGCCAGACTAAGACAGACAGGACTCTTATTTGCCTGTCTCCTCACGTCTCAAGGGTTGAATGTTCGACCCTGAGATCCTGTAGAGGACTTGGTGGGGGAGGGATAAGGACAAATGACCTACGTGTAGCCATTGGAACACTTCCAATTGAAGGAAAAATCTCCAAATGGCTTGTTAATGCCACCCATTTGTCACCAACATGCAGTAAACGACTAATGCTGTATAAACACAGAGTCAAACAGAGCACTACCCCCCCCACCATCCAAAGAAATTTTTTTATGGTAATATACTACTATATATATATATATATATATACTGTATATCTGCTATAGACATTTAAAAAAAATTTTTTTTACTCTTTTAATATTTAAGATTTAAGTTCAAATTCAGTTTCCTGAGTCTATTTTTTTGTGTGTTGTTTTCCCCCCACTGTTCTGTCAAAAAAACGTACAACTAATATCTCATCTGAGAGCAAACTCACTAGAAAGCTCCAGTATGGCAGGGCAGCTCTGCAGCTTTGTTAGAGCTCAAATCCACCGCTAGCGCTCCACATTAGCTCTTTACTGCATGTACCTGCCGTTAAATGTGCTACGGTAATATACAATATATATAATGGAGTTAGCATCATTTCACGGTGTTATTTTTTATTAAGGTGGAAGGGGAGGGTCTTTGTTCTTTATCAAACAGGATTTCTTTGTCCTGGGTTGAAAGTCCCTCTGTATGCTGTTACAATAGCCTTGATAAAAGAGCCCCCCGAGTGTGACCCGAGGAGGGTTCAAGAGGTGACCTGCCGTGCAACCACAAATCATTAGGTACAAAAAGAAACTGTTGAGCAAACCGGTCATACATGGCCAATTGAGAAGATAATTGGATCAATTACTTGCATATTAAAAGACGTACTGAGAAAAAAGGGCAGAATCCCCTCCCTAAACAATCCCCTAAAATACTAATCCGACATTACTGGATCTTAACCACCCTGTTTTGCCAGCATTGTTGATGGGGGCCATTGGTGGTCGATGGTTAAAAGGGGGTGGTGTGGGGGACCTCCAGAGCCTCAGACTAACGTGTTGTTTTTCTCTCCGGCAGACAAAGGCGGCGAGGGTGAAAGTGGGTTAGATATGCTCACAACATACATGGGGGAAGCATGTGCTATTGCCCACTGATCACGAGCCCCGCCTCTCCCTGTCTGTTTTTCTAGGTGATGTCAGAGAACGAGAGCAAGGCAGGAGACAAGAGAAGCACGAGGCAGCCTCGCTTCTCTTTGTGATTGCTAGCGTTTGCATCATCGCCCGGGACAGACCTCTTCTCCTTCCCACAGCAACAGTGAAAGGAGGCAAGAAGGCTGAACAAATCCCTAATATGCTAAGAAGGTATTTCAGGTCATTCACTGGAAGTGCAATCAACTTTTTTTTGAATATGATATGTAGAAGTGAAAATATATTATAGATTATAAATATTTCTCCATTCATTCTGAATGGCTGCACACTTTCTTTGGGGTAATCTGAGATTAATACAGACACCTGAATGCAAACAGGCTCAAGGATTGTCTCTGTTACCATTTTCGTGATGATGAACATGAGACCAGTGAGAAACAACTCGACTCAACCTGATGATCAGGGGATGGTGTTTCTGACATTCTTCGCCACCCAAAGACAACATAAACTGACAGCTTTTAACTTAACATTGACAGTAAACATTTGTTTTAGAATGAATCACTAAATAACATATTACAATGCATTCAAGGCATGGTCCTTTGCCTGCCATAGACACTGAGGGGAGGGGGGAAGTCAGTTGACCAAAACAATTTAGACGGATGTTATTTCTCTTTAACTTGCAGTTTTCATATTCATACAATATGAACAAATAGATGAACTAGCTGTAGTATAAATAACAAATGCAACAGCATTGATGTATAGGCTGGATTTTAAACAGTTTGGACTTATTTTTTCAGCTAACAATTTCTTATTCAGACAATGATATGAATAAATAGACAAACTAAATGCAGCAAATAACAAATGCAACAGTCATGGTCTTGGATGGATTCAGACTAATGTATATTGACTGGATGTTTTATGCTTTCTTCTTCGTTTGCTTATAGAATGATGTAAACAAATTGTATACCTGTATATTGAAAACACTATCAATATGCGATTTTACAGTGTCATTTAGATAGAAGTAAGCTAACACGCGTCAAAGCGAGGCACACTGGATCTTCTCACCTTCTCGCCGGTGATCGCGTGAAGCCCCTCTCGCACTTTGGCGAATGAGCCCTCTCCCAGCTTCCTGCCGATCAGATAATTCCCAACTCTTTTCGTGGGGTAAAAGTTTCGGAGGATGTCAGCTTGACCTCTGCTCAGACCGCTGCTCAGAGACGAAGGAGGGGTGTTTTCTGTTCCTGCGGGAGCCAGAGGAGCTTTCACCCCCAACATCCTCCCGCTGTCCGTCCGCATGTCTGTTCCTGTATCGGACATCCCTGCGCCTGTTGAACAAAACCTGTTGTCCTCTGAATTTACTGTTACTGCTTGCTAAGAAGACCTCTGTGAGAATGGGACATCTGAATCCCTGTCTCTAATAGTAAACCCTGACACACGCACCACCTGTTAGGCTCAGCTGGCTGTCAATACGCAAACTATAAGATTGTAATAGTTTTACGTAAGTAATGCATTCGTCATGGGATTATGAATAAAGCCACTCGGTCCTAATCTAAATCAAATGACCAAAACGTCGTAATAACATGCGGACGTCTCCGTATGATTAAGCTAATTTCCCAGCACCTCTCTGTATCTGAGTGAGAAGTAAGTGAGTGTCTGACTGCCGACTCTCTCACATTTGTTGATTGAAGTTAGTTTCGCGGCACGAGGTGGGGGCGTTTCTTATTTGCTAGAAAATCCCCTCAGTCGCCGGGCTGAAATCTGATCCAATCAGTGGTCGCACCGGGACCAGAGGCTCCGCCCTCCCTGGTGTTGTAAAATTAACCCCGCCCCCTCTCCCATGCTTACCTAGACAACAAAGAGCATGTTGCTGAGGTGAGATTTGCCGTGATACTTGATTTCTATCAGCTTTCCCCGGTGATGTTTTACGTAGACCGCTTTTGGCTGACCTATTGGTCGCGACTAAATTATCTATTGATTATTCATTCACACAGAGCTGCTAATGCACACAAACACGTTTTATGCAGTGATGTCATGCATATGTTGTAGTAGAGCATTTATTTAATTTTCTTTAAGTAGTTTGCTAATGACATTCACCGCATTAGATAGAATTACATTTTTTTAATCTAAACATTATACTTTGTATTTTGTACATTATACATAAATTCATCCTCATCCTTTTATCTTTTATTATCCCCTTATTTTTTATTACCTCACCCTGTTTGTATTCCTCATTGTCTATTTCAATACTTTAAGCACTTTATATTCTTGGCAATATTATAACAAATATGCCAAATAATATAAAATAACCCAAGTGTGTTGCTACTTAAATATTATCCATGAAACAAAACACCGTATCCTATAAAATAATGATAGAAAGACCACCAATGTCATTTTAATTTTTTCAAATCAATTCCTTAAATTGCATTAATCATACTGTATCTTACACACGTGTTTTGTAAATGAGTGCCTTGGTTTTTATTCGTTCATCATTCGTAGTCTCTCAGCGACGACAGTCCTGACATGATTAATAGACCTCCACAACAATGGAAGATTTTTTAAATAAGACACACTATTGCGTCACCACACCCCGGCTAGCCGGCAGCTTGTTTACATTACCATGCGGTCATGAGACGAGCGATGTATGAAGGTAAGTAGGTATATTGCGCCCTCTATCGGTAATATGATGTAAGACAAGTAGGGCAAATGCATCTATCTATCTATCTATCTATCTATCTATCTATCATTTAGAGAATGCATTCTTTTAAAGCTCACGTTCCCCAGTAGCAGGGGATTTTATTTGTTCAAAGGCACATGAGGTGAAAGACCAGACTAGAACCAGAATAGCCTGTTGTCCGACCTTTGTGTTAGCAGCCAGCCTATGCTATCATACCTCTGTTTTGGATGCATTATGCATGAACGAGCGATGTATGAAGGTAAGTAGGTATATTGCGCCCTCTATCGGTAATATGATGTAAGACAAGTAGGGCAAATGCATCTATCTATCTATCTATCTATCTATCTATCATTTAGAGAATGCATTCTTTTAAAGCTCACGTTCCCCAGTAGCAGGGGATTTTATTTGTTCAAAGGCACATGAGGTGAAAGACCAGACTAGAACCAGAATAGCCTGTTGTCCGACCTTTGTGTTAGCAGCCTTTTTATGCTATCATACCTCTGTTTTGGATGCATTATGCATGAGCTGTTGCAATGAAATGTCAATAAACGGTAAGATCCTGGCCATCTCATTACCCGCCTTAAGCCCGGCTCACACTGTGCGATTTTGGCCACGATTTGGTCGTCTGACAAATTTGGAAAATTCTAAAAGATTCCTATAATCCTAGGCTAAAATCTGTAGTCTTTGATCGTTAGTTTGACATGTTCATCGACAGCCGATTAATGGTCGTTGCGATCAAATTTTACCTCCGAGTGACATTAATGACAACTGAGATCCCACAATGTGGCATGATCATCATGTTCGTACAGTCTGACAACTACAATCCTAAAGGACTTTTAAAATCGTACAGTGTGAGCCCGGCTTTATTTAAATAAATATTTACCAGTAGCAGGGGATCATTATTACATGCCGCCGCTGACCAGTAGAGGGCGCACATTATTAGCTTCGCGGCTTGAGTCTGGCGTATTCGATTTCCATGTTTCTGCAGCCGGCGTGATACACACGAGTTTAGCATGCTAAAGCTCCCAAAAGCTATGTCTGGACATACTGCTGGACACAGTTTCATATATTTCTATTCATATATTCTGCTCTCCTTTGGTGAGTTGGTGACGTACACATTCTCAGCATAATAATCATCGCTGGCCACTTTTAGCCAAATGAGATCGTGTCTGTCAAAACTGTAAAAACATACCTGTTATATTGTTACAAATAATGAAAATTTCCATGGACCTAATAAAAAACAAAAAAACGTGTTTAAAAAAAAAAAGTGTAGCCTGTGTTTGTGTGTGTTTTTGTTTTTTAGAAATGTTATTTTGTAGATGCTTACAACTAAACTTTATTTTCTCTCTCTCTTAGTGCCTTCTTGCAATGCTTTTGACGGAATCTCACAAGTAAGAAGAAACATCGTATCTATCCATACTATGCATATAATATATTAATCTAAATAAAGCTCTATGCGTTCCAAATAATTATCAGTATGTGGTCTCCTGAGGTTCATTTCTAGGCTCAATCTCAAGGCCGCCATGTCAGTGTTGTTAGATTGGACAAATGTACCAAGTACCGTACCACAAGCTCAAAATTATCGTACAACACGAGTCAAACGTACAGAGCTATTTATCTAAATCAACAACTTTTTGACACGACCTGCCAATTACCCCAATAGATAACTAGGCGTACCCAGGGCCGCATTAACCATTGGGCTAGGGGGGGGGGAAACCCCGGGGCCCGGACAAGGAGGCAATATATATATATATATATAGCTTTAAATAGGATTTTTATCCTATCAAAATTAGGAGTATAATTTTGATAGGATAAAAATCCTATTTAAAGCTATATATATATATATATATAGCTTTAAATAGGATTTTTATCCTATCAAAATTAGGAGTATAATTTTGATAGGATAAAAATCCTATTTAAAGCTATATATATATATATATATAGCTTTAAATAGGATTTTTATCCTATCAAAATTAGGAGTATAATTTTGATAGGATAAAAATCCTATTTAAAGCTATATATATATATATATATAGCTTTAAATAGGATTTTTATCCTATCAAAATTAGGAGTATAATTTTGATAGGATAAAAATCCTATTTAAAGCTATATATATATATATATATAGCTTTAAATAGGATTTTTATCCTATCAAAATTAGGAGTATAATTTTGATAGGATAAAAATCCTATTTAAAGCTATATATATATATATATATAGCTTTAAATAGGATTTTTATCCTATCAAAATTAGGAGTATAATTTTGATAGGATAAAAATCCTATTTAAAGCTATATATATATATATATATAGCTTTAAATAGGATTTTTATCCTATCAAAATTAGGAGTATAATTTTGATAGGATAAAAATATATATTATATCAAAATATCAAAATATATATTATATTTGTAATAGGGGGCCCTGCAGTAAGTCATAGCCCCGGGGCCCTGTAAGGTCTTAATGCGGCCCCGTACCGTGTCTGTCTACATTGGACGCGAGCAGTGCAACAAAGTACTATAGAACCCATTATATCAGTGACTGTGCACTGGATGCGTTGCGGCACACGCGACACGACACTACACATCCCCGACAGTAAATTGATGCTTCCTTCTATTTATGACGTATTAAAACGATTTTAACACTCGCTTTGTCGCGTCCAGTGTAGACAGACTTTAGCTCTATGGAAGGCCGTTAGGGCCAAAACGTGTGGTACTAACGCGTTAAATCGCGATTGCGCGTTAACACGTCATGGACTGCAACATAGTGCTCGTTGGCTTTAAAGCAGGGCACCCTCCTGCATTCTTAACACACTCTGAGGTGTGCACGAGTCCATTTAGAGTGTCTGTAATGAGCCAATTTCGTGTATGATTATAGAAGCCCTATGACTACAACTAACATAATTTGAATTGTCATAAAATTCTGAAATTATCCTACATTATGGGATTTTTTTCATTATTAGTACATCGTACAGAGGTCAAAATTATCGTACAAATAATACGATAATTATCGTACGTCTGGCAACACTGCGCCGTGTCCAGCAGAGCAGAGCCCTGACAGACACCTGATTTACAGCCCATTAAAAAAAAAAAACGATTTAATGCACTTAAGTCATCTCAGTAAAAAGCTGACAATAATTCACGTTGAACACGTTGAAAGCATTTTCACATTAACTGTTTAACCTTTGAAAGCTTATTCTGTCCTCTTTGATAAATAAGGGCATTTGCACTTTGGCCATTTTTTTCTTAATTTAAGCAGTTATGCATTATATATGTGTGTGTGTTTGCATGCTTATATAATTTATGAGGACACAAACTTGTGTAATGACATGGGCATAACACTGGTATAAAATCATAAACATGGTTTATGATTATTAATGATTTAATAATTAAAATAGCTAAGTCCATACTAAATAATGTTTTATTAAAAATGTAAAAATGCAAAAAATGTACAAAGTTTTCTATGAGGGGTAGGTTTGGGGGTAGGGGTAGGGGGATATTGTAGGGCAGGGCTAGTCAACTCTGCATAGTTTCTGCATAGTTTACTTCCAATCTGCATAGTTTACTTCCCTTATCCAACACACCTGTTCATCATTTGTAAATAGTCCAGAATACTCTGATAAGCTTGATCAGGCGTGTTTGATTAGGGTTTGAACTAACTCTGCAGGACACCGGCCCTCCAGGAGCCGAGTTGAAGAGTCCTTGTTGTAGGGGGATAGAATATACAGTTTGTACAGTGTAAAAACCATTACGCCTATGGAGAGTTCCCATAAAACATTAAAACCAACAGGTGTGTGTGGCTGTGTACAGAATGCATGTACATTATTAGAGTTAAACTGAATAAAACATTTATGCTTCATATTGTCTCTCACAGAAACAAGGAAGAAGTGATCCACAAATGTTTGACCAATTTACTGGTGAGTTGCACAGTGTGGCTTCTTTCTGATCATTTTGCAATAATCATTCATCAGAATTACATGTAATTATA